CCTTTCTGTTCTTGTGGATTTGGGAAGAGGGCACAGCAAAGTTGCAGTCCCTTGTTTTGTTGTAAGGGGAAGGGACACATCTCTTTCTAGCTTGGAAGTGATCAACCATCTTCAGCTTGGGCAGGAGCTGACCACCAAAGAAAATCCAGCCTTGATGGACTTGGCAGAGCTCAGATATTTTTTGTGGGTTTTTATTTTTTTGTTTAGAAGAAGTCAACCTTTATCCTTTCTAAGGACCATTTTCTTGCTACATCGATTTTACCACCTGACAAGGAGACCCTTTGTTTCTTATTATCCATGTTAGAGTATTTGCTTTTACTTTTGGAAATATTTGTGTTTCAGTAAGAGCTGAGGAAAGCTGGGCTTCACTTCTGTATGGCTTTCTTCAGTAAGCATATTTTGTTGCTAAGAAATCACAGATGGAATGATTTTCACTCCTGAAATCAAAGTAACATTTTTTTACTTTAAGTGAAGATTATGCTTATGCTCAGAAAATATAAGGGAAACAGAGTTCACACAAGAGAAAAGTAAACATTTGTATCACAAATATGACTTACAGCCTATGAATTTATATTCTTGGATCAAAATTCATACAAAATGCAGGAGAGAGAGACAAACATATATTTTAAGTCTGTCATGTTTCTCATGTGTCTACACAATCATGTTGCCTCTTGGGGCTGCTTTTCTCTTAAGTTCATGCAGCACTTTATCTTCCTTTATTATGTTATCTATTGTCATTTTTATTTCTCTTCAAGTATCTAATAATTTTTATTTCCCACTACTTCTGATCTGTTCAAGCCTTGTCTTTTTTTTCCCTTTTATTTCCTGTCTGCATTCCTCCCTCTTATTTTCTACAACTTTCTGAAAGGCCTGTGCATTCCTTCTCCTTTCTGCCTCCTCTTTCTTACCCCATTTTTCACCTACTTATTTGGTCAAGCACTGTTTGGAATTAGCATTCAGTGTAAGAGAATCCATGATTTATGGATAAAATTAAACACCATTAGAGAATTAGATGGCAGTAGAAGACCTGTTAGAAAAGAAGGGATTGCAAGGGACTTGCTCATGTCTGGTAGGAGGAGGCTGTGGTAGGGAAGGGAATCACAAAAGTAAACTTCAGGTGCAATTTTTTTGTCATAAATTACATAGGATGCTGATCTTGCATTCCATGTTTTTTGTCCCTCATAATTGTTGACTAAGTTGCTGAATATTGTGATTGTTTGTTTTGGTTTTTTTAAACAAATAAGTAATACAGGGTCTTGAAAATCTAAGTATCAGTTTCAGTTAATAAGATTGCATTGGTGGCACAAAATATAGCATTTTTTTCTGCACACATGTTACCTAATGTGTGTTGCAGTGTATGAAAACTGGTATCTGTGTTCTGAGATGCACTATTTTGTATCACTTTCATAGAGGCCTGTAGAGTGACATTGTCATAAGAACACTAAAAGAAAAAAATAAACTATTGAATCCTTAGGTAATTCTAGAAATTAATTTATACTAAGTGAATGCCATTCTCATGGATCTGGTTATAATATGACTATTTCAATTCTTCATGAATTTGCTGGTGGAGATCTGACCCTTATGTTGGTGTAATGTAATTTTTGTCTTTAACAGAATATATTGCTTTCTTACTAATGGATTTTCAAGCAGACATCTTGATTAAATGTTTTCAAATAGGTGATGCAGGGGAAGCAGAGGTACTTAGCAGTTATGGCTAACCTGTCTTTACTTTAAATTTGCAGAAAGCAGTCTGTTTTCACAGTGCTTGCCAAAGAAAGAGGAGCAATTAGTCTTGCTTTCCTGTTTAAAACTGTGATTCACAGCATAAAGTGTGCTGTAGGGTTAGTAATTAGTACTGGAACATATAACCAGTGTATGTCATTTATGAAGAGGTAGATCAGTAATGCAGTTGAGGCTCTCTTGAAGTTAAAGGAAAGACTGAAGGAAGAAATTGGGTGTTTTTCCTGCTACGTACATTTATGAAAAATTAGTAACTGTCACTGCCTGAAATTTTGGAAAGCTTGAGACACTCACATCCTCAAAGGCAAAGAATAAACAGCATGAGAGACTATTTCACTGTTCCATCAGAAAATAAGATATAAAATTACCTCTGTTTTGTGTTCTTTTTTTTTGGTCATTCAGAGTTGATGGGAACTTTGATTCTGTAACCTGTTACATGTCGATGGTTCTTATGTTCTCTTGGTTGTAATGTACGAAAAGTAAAAGAAAAATCATATTCAGCTATGACAGAACTATTCCTTAAACAGTGAATTAAATCAGAATTGGCTGCTATTGAATGGCTGTTTTCAGAAATTCCCCTCAATCTTTACAGGTGTATCTACTACAAGAAAGTTCATTGAGTTTTATGGTCAGCTTAAAGGAAATTTTTTAAGTTTCCATAATATGTAGTTATTATTAATTCTTATTTTATAAAAATTTATTTTTATGGTCATCTTTGAATTTTTATAAGAAATATTTATGTCCAGTTATACTGGATTATTTTCTGTGTGTTTTACTTCAAGTAGATTTTATTTGCATTTATTTATTTGTACTGTGTTTTTAACCTAGTCTATTCATTGCTTTCTTAATTAATTTTTTTTTTAATAACTTTCTCTAAGTTTCATAGTCACAAGAGGATATAAAGAGCTTTTACAGCTTTAAATGGTGCAAGCTTCTGAAAGAATTTTGATCAAGTTTGTGCTGATTGTGACCTAATGAAAAGTTAATGCTGAAGCCCATTAAACTTTCGAAGTTACTCAGAACTAAGAAATAGTGGCAGGACAAACTGCAACGTGAATCTGTGTTTAAACCATTGACAGTTTCAGCTTTTTGCCTCTATCTGGTAATAATGGGAAATGCAGTTTTTAGAAACAAATATATTCTGTTATACTTCTTTCAAAATACTTGAAAAGCATAGAGTATAATATTTCTTCCATTGTTTCTGATATGGTAGTTTTGTTTTTAAGATAACTAAAAGATTTGAGCTTTTAAACCTGATTTTTACAGAATTGGCTTTTCTAAAAAATGAAAGAAAAACGTACTTGATTCGATAAACAATTGTTTGAAATGCAGTACTCTAACTGCAGTATTTAATATTTTATGCCACACACTTAACTTAGCTTCTCTATTAGCAAGGTGTGATGAGGCAATTCAGGCAGTACATGTTACTCTCCTGAATCTTCTCTAGTTCATGAATATAAAGTTTCATCTGGATTCTGATGAATGCATATCCATTGAAGCCAGGATAAACTGCATAGCAACCCATAAACATACAGAACATACAGAAACAAAAGTAAGCATTTACTTATACCATCTGTGCTCAGGACATGGTGGTTACTTGTGATTCCTGGATGGCCAAAGCAAGGATGTATTTTTGATTGACAGGGAATAATAAAGACAATGAAATCCAAATAATCTTTCTAGGTAAATCCTGTTTGTGTGTATTAAGGCTTTTACAAGCGCTTTTATTCTGATTTTAATCTTAACTTTGATCAGAATAAGAGAAAACAGGCAAAGGAAAAAAGCACATTTGTTACACTTAGAGAAACTGGAGCGGTGCCTTTGACATATTTAATTTGATGTCAAAAGTAGAAGCAAGGCTCATAATTTATCAAAACAAATATTTTTCCAGAACTCAAGCAAAAATAAAATAATTAGTTCAAGGTTTCACTCAGAGTAGCAGTTTCTCTTTCTGCTGTTCTTTCCTGCCTCCCTATCAAGCTGATTTGTATTTCTCATTGAAAATTTTTCACAGTGGAATTCTACAAATTATAATAGCTTTTTTGGAGGGTACTGTAATGTGTAAGCAACCATGGCAAAGTTAGCTATGTATTGAGTGCCAGAAATAATTTCATTGCTCTTTGACTAATTTCTCAGAAATGTTATGAAGCTCTTTCAAAGAATATCATATTGTAATTTCAGTATGATAGCTGTGGTACATGGAGACAATCAAGAAGGGAAGATAATTTCAGGTCTAAGAGGCAAGGTCAGCTTGACCAGAAGGCAACATGCCCTGCACTGGAGTTCACTACTGGGAGAACTATTGGATATAAAATTGAATTTGCTTAGTTGTCATTCCATATCTTCAGTATCAGTCATTAGATCTCAGTGAGCTATGAAATATTCCAACTGTAATTTGAGATTGGTCAACTCTATTTAATCACTTTCCAGGTAAAAAGATGAATAAAACAAGGTAAAGGTGTAAAGAATATGCTGCTTAAAATGACAGTCAGCTACTCTTTGCCTTTTCATTTCTATCAATAATTACAGTGACTCAGCAAAAAAGATTACAGTTTAAAAATTAATTATTGTGATCAGGTATTCTTCTGTGACATTTATGATTACAGCTATGTATATTAAAAGAAAAAAAAAAAAGTGGAGCTCAGTTACTGTTTACCAAGAATAAGTAGTTCAAGTTTAAAGAGTTTACAGAAGGATAAAGGATGCTCCAAAGCTTTTTCTACCTTTTGTCCTTCCATAATTTTTTAAGCCCTCTTACTACTATGTTTATTTTAGTGGAAAACTTATTTTTCCTGTCAATCTTGTCAGTATATTTTGATGAAATAAAACACTATGAATTGTCTTAAAGAGTGTTAGACACAGAGCATCAGGAGATGTATATGTTACGTTTTGGATGTTTCCTAATAACTTTTACTCCACTAAAAGTGCAAATTGATATTGGCTTATGCCAAGATTGTGTTGTGTATTACTTTAAAGTTTAACATGTCTTTAGTTTAAGATCTGGAGGTGATTTTTGTTACCTGAAATTCTTTCATTTCCTTAACACTGACTGGACCAAGGAATTCTAAGCAAGCAGAGTTTGTGTTCCATCCATCTTTATTGTAGCTGGCAATAAAGAACCCTCTGGGCTTGGTGTATTGTCATGGCAGTTATTCTCAAGACATTATACAGCAGTTGTACCTGTCAGCCCGTGCAGTATGGAATGTTTTAACTGGCAGCCTTCCAAGAGTGAACATTAATTTTAGCATCTCTTCTTGCAGTCCCTAATCAAGACATTCCAGGGGTGATTGCACTAACACTGTTTGAAGACTACATCTACTGGACAGACGGGAAAACCAAATCGCTCAGCCGTGCCCACAAAACCTCTGGATCAGATAGACTGTCACTGATTAACTCATGGCACACCATAACAGACATCCAGGTGTATCATTCTTACAGGCAACCTGATGGTAATTATTCTGTCTTTGCTTTCCAAACAGCTCACTGATGTATTTAACTCAGGAGCCAGGTGCTGAGTAGTGGAAACTTGTTCACATGCAGTGATTGTTTTATTTCTCTTTTGTTTCAATTTGTGGAAGTTCTCAAATTAGCATTTTTAAAATTAAATCTGTGATTAATGTTGTAAGCATATCTGATATTAAATACAGATATTAAATACAGATATTAAATACTGATATATCTTGTTCAGTGGTGAGATAGCAATTTGGGTGCTTAAAAGTTGACCCAGATACTGACTGGAAGTACAGAACTGTTTAGTTGCATTATAGTACAAGTTACCAGATTTTAAGAGGAGAACAGTGTGTGATAAGAACTTTTAACCTTATTCTTTGAAAACCAAGATTCTTCGTGTTAATAATGCTGAAGAATACTGCTATTTAGAAACTTGTTGGACTGAGGGAATGTCAGACAATGTGGGTGGTATGTCTGATCTCCTGATGTCCCTGTATTTGAATTGTAACTGAATACAATTTGACACTTTACCAAGATAAGCTAATTTTTTCTCTCATTTAAAAAAAAAAAAAAGGTGTTCTGTTCTTCCTCTCATTCTTTCAGTATTGAACCTACACTCATAGTAATAATTTTTGCATACAACAGAGAATAGCTTAAAGGCAAAAGGAAAAGTTTCCCTCTATAGCTTTTTGATTTGACACATTCCATTGTAAAGATAGCACATGTAATACATCTTTCTTCCTCTGTAAAGCAGATACCCTGGGGTGCACTGGAATGATGGGCTCTGATATTATTTTCCTACTCTGTCCACAGTGTCTAAACACGTGTGTACACTAAACAATGGTGGTTGCAGTCACTTGTGCCTTCTGGCCCCTGACAAGATGTACACGTGTGCCTGTCCCACCAACTTCTACCTGGCTGCTGATAACAAGACGTGTCTGTCAAACTGCACAGCCAGTCAGGTGCGTGGGGGTAGGGGGGGCAGGGATTATATTTTACTGTCATTACCCCTGCTTTTAAATAATCAGTGCTGGTGCCCTTTAAATGTGGAAGTATCACTCAAAGCAGCTGAAGGCTGGGTGCACTTAGAGAGTTTTGTCTTCAAGGCTGTTAGTGGAAAACAGACTTGCAAATGCCTTTTTTGCCGGAGAACGCAGAACTTGTTCACTTTCAAACATCAATGTTTCTGCCAGTCACTAGAACAAATACAGCTGCTAAACCCATAAAAATTGCCTTGAAAAAACATTTGTATGAAATATAAAAATACAAAGTGTATATAACAATGATTTGGGAGGATTCATGCATGAGTGAACTTTACATTAATAAAAGATAACAAGCTCAGTCCAGTTCAATGGGTAACATAGCTACGTAGGTAAATTATAGATTTGCATTTAAAACAATCCAGTAGTTAAAATGGAAATGGTGCAATATGTAATTAATTAACAATTCCATCAACTGCATGCAGTGTATTCCCTAGTACTTGAAATAAAAATTTATGCCTTTTTTCTTAAAATATAAAGTAGATAAGTAAAACATACTGATTTCTTATAAGAGAACCACTTTGATAAAAGTCTTTGGATTGTTCTACCCAGACAATTAATTGGTTGACTGTTACAGTACATATGGCCTTTAAAGTATTTTTAGTAATGTCCTTTTCTAGCAGTTCACTTTTGTTAGATGTAAGCTAATGACCTCTTACACCGTTCTATATCATGATGTATGATAATGATTTCCATCATTAAGGAAAAGGTTTTACTTGTATTTTTTAGGAAACAGTGTTCATCTTAATAAATGATGCAAAGTTTAATTCAAGTAATATTGTTATATAAGAAACCTTCCTGCTGCCTTCCTCTGTTGCTTTAAGGTGGTGTGATTTTATGATGTTCATTGTATCTTTTGTGTTTTATTGGCTTGTTATTACTTCCTATTAAGAAATGAGGTGGGAAAAAAAGGTGTAAAACATTTGTAAAATGAGGAATTTCTCACCTATTTTTCCCTTGTATTTAGCTTCTCAATTTTTTTTTGGTTAAAAGAAAAGTCACTCTTTTCCTTTTTTTTCTTTTTATATTTTTTTTTAAATGACACTGGAAGCTTATTCCACAGTGAATTTATATGCTAACATTTGATTGAATGTCTCTGTTCCTGTCTAAATAATTCATTGATCATCTGAATTGAAGGATTGCATCGCATCTTGTATCCTTCAGGAGCAATATTTTATCACTTGTGGATTCCACAGGATGGAGAGCAGAGTTAGGGAGAAGAAGCAGCTGCAGACAGACAGTTTACATTGTACATTATTTGTCATTTTCTTCCACTTTTGGAATCTTTTTACTGTTTGATAATTCATCAGTCTGATGGCATAAGGTGCAGAGATCAGTGGCAAAAATACACTTTTCTCCCTAAGATTTTCAGATGATGATGTCAAATCAGAGCTGGTCCGAAGATGTAATCGCTCTTGGCAATATACCCACTGTTAGCTGTTTCTGATGAAAAGGAGTTGGATGGTCACTACACTGCTCTTGCACATGTCCAGACCATCCTGTGATGGCTAATCTGACATGAGAAATCGTTTAATACAAACCACATCAGACTCTAGAGCACCAAAATTCCAGTCATTTGAGACCCATATGACTCTGCTTCCTGATTTTACAGGGTGTCTGGCTCCTCAGTTTGAAAGGGAATGCAAGTATTTTCATATAACAACATCTAAGAGTTAGTACCCATTTCCTGGAAATAACCTCATAATGTCATTTTAACAGCCTGAAGTCCATTGTGGTGAGCAGAGCAAGGCTGGCACCTTAAAGCAATTAAGCATCAGAAAGACTGTGCTAGAAAGCAAAAAATACTAAGAATGAGAATTGCCTGAGTTTCTGTTTGTCCCCTATGTTTCCTGGCCTTCTACTGAAGCTCCTCTGAGCTGTGTAACCTGTGTTGGGCTGTTTTAAACTATAAACAGCTGCCTTTCAACCTACCCTCTTACAGGGCATGTCCCTCAAGGTGGTTCAAGAATGATGTATCTCCAGCTATAGGTCCTACTACATAAATGCCCTTGAAACCCTAATTTTTCTTGGCAGAAAAGATTAAACTGACCCAATGTGCTGAATATAATATACCTTTTAAATACAGCTTTATTGAATAATCAACTATTTTTAAAATGTGAAGAAATTAAAAAAATAGTGCTGAGTCACAGAAACTGAGATGTCTTGCACTTTAAATCTGTTGGTTTCCTTCCTTTTGGACATCAGGTAGGAAAACCAATATATCTTAGAATTTTCTGATAATCTCTTTGGGTTTTTCTCCCAAGCATTAGCCACATTTACTCAGAGTTTAGGTTTAGCCCTAGAAGTTTCATCAAGTAATTTCTGCTCTTAGTTTTGTTTGCATTCCTGTTTCAGTCAGAACAAAGGTACAGTGTCACCTCAGTAGAGAGTAAAGGCACTGCCAGAGTCTTACAAAGGATTTTTCTTTTTTTTTTTTTTTTTCCCTACAGATATTCTATCCTTTTGAAAGGCTGGAAGGCCTGATATCTGGTTTGCTCACTTAATTCAAACAATATAAACAATACCATGCACTACACTACACATTAAGGCCTTTTTTTGTAACTGTGGGTGTTTGGGTTTATCAGGAAAAATGATACTGTCTGCATCAGCAATCTACAACAACTGAGAATTGAAGTGCTTGTTTTGAATAAGATCTTAAAAGGCGACAGCATAAAATGCAGTGAATGGTTTGTATTAGGGCATTGTAAGGCAGTGTGGAAACATCACTGAAACTACAGTTCCTTTTATCAGTGAAAACCTCAGCGCAAAACATCTCCAGAAAAAAAGAATATTTAAAATACAAGTTTTGTAAAATTAACAGCTAGAATTCATTAATGGAATAATGACTTAAGCAGTGAATCTAATTTTCCTAAACTACTATTTCTATTTATAAGTGAATTAAGAAGTATTCATCTGAAAGCCTTTTCTCCTTCTCTCCTTCCTCTCACAGTTCCGTTGCAAAACTGACAAGTGCATCCCGTTCTGGTGGAAGTGTGACACTGTGGATGACTGTGGGGATGGCTCCGACGAGCCTCCGGAATGCCGTAAGTGCATCCTGAATTTGGAGCCCAGTTGTATCAGTAGGGTCCGAATCAAGTATAATGCATTACAGATGTTAGAAAGAGGATTGCTTTTGAACACTTCTCTTTGCCAGCAGTGTTTTCTGTTCCTTGGTTTCTGTCAAATTTAAAAAGGGGTGCAGGCTCTTCTTTGTCAGCCTGTAAAAGGTTATCATTAATTCATGTCTATTCAAAGTCTTTCAAGTTCTTTGGAAAATCATGCGTTGTTTTTCATCTTTTAAACCTTTACTTCATCCCAGTTAAAAGCAAGTGACAGAATATTCTGGATTGGAAGGGACTCACAAGAAGCATCAAGTCCAGCTTGAAAGTTAATGGCCCATCCAGGGATCAAACCCACAACCTTGGCATTATCACCATGTTCTAACCAACTGAGCTACTCTCAGTTATGGTTTTGCTAAAGATTTTTATTTCCTAGCTCTGTTCTGAGGTTGCAGAATTTTTTATATAACTACAAAATTCTACCAGTTTTATTTTTGCATGTAATGAAACTGTGGAATTCTAACCTCATTTGCTTGTGTTTCATTGCAATTGTAGAAGTTTAGATGCACATTATTATTATTATTATTATTTACTGCAGTTTTCTGAGCAACAACATTTTCCCTTGTTCTCTTAAACTTATATATAAACGTGCTCTACTATGTATTCTACAATCTTCCAGTTAATTAACAGTTAATTTTGGGTTTTTGTGCTGAAATCCCTCACCCCTGTTTTTACAGTTTTATAATTAGTTCTCTTTTCCTGCTACAGAGGCCTCTGAAGCAAACTTCAACATACTAACATTCTACATAAGATTCCATTTTAAGCTACACTTTCTGCTTATAAAATATTGCTACAGAGGTACATAATTGCTCATTGACTCAAATGACAGTGACCAGGAGAAGGAACAGTGTTAAGCCTTTCTTGGGAAATAGAATTACAGCTGGGATAGCGAGTTTCTTACACACAGACTTAAAGTCAAGTGTTTAGATCCTAAATTGCAAGTCTCTGTTGAGCCTGCAGTAAGCACCGACCTGCAGGGGGTTTCACTCTGTACCATTAATACTGTAGCTACAGTTAGGCACATTTAAAATGTCAGGCTTTGAAATTAGTTTTGCAATAATATGTGTATGTTGGAGTTACTAATATATACTCAGATTGAGATTGTATGGGCAAATATGAAAGTTTATAGGTTCTTTTGATTAGTTCATAGAGGAAGAACAGCACTATTGATACTTTACCCATCCCTCTGATAGTATTCATAAGCAATTTTTTTTCTTCTCAGCTGAATTCAGATGTCAACCAGGACGTTTTCAGTGTGGAACTGGACTTTGTGCTCTTCCAGCCTTTATCTGTGATGGAGAGAATGACTGTGGGGACAATTCTGATGAACTGAACTGTGGTAGGTAATTATATACATTGTAGGCTTCAGAAACATGCTAAACTCATTTAAATGCCATGCTTTCCACTCTGTCAAGAAACTGTATTTTTTTTTTTTCATTTACCTTTTAAGTTTTGAACCTTTTAATCTTTAACTTTTAATCTTTTTAACTTGTTGTTCTTTTAATTTACAGACACACATGTGTGTCTGTCTGGTCAGTTCAAGTGCACAAAAACTCAGAAGTGCATTCCAATAAACCTGAGATGCAATGGACAGGATGACTGTGGTGATGAAGAAGATGAAAGAGACTGTCGTAAGTAGCTGGTTTTAAACAAGGAACTGGAGTAAAAGATATAAAATACTGCAAATATCCTCTATAGAAAATAATTTTAGACCATGCAAACAAACCTCAGTTTTTTAAAGTCATTGCAAAGAAGAGGGAGGTATAAACAATTTCAGGCATTTAATTGGGGTTTTGACTTAGGCTGAAACATCTGTTTTACTCTTAACCACCTCGCAAATGACTCATCCTTTTGAGCCTTTCATCTGCTGTGCCTTGCAGCAATGCATTTCTGTGGAAGAAGATAATTTTCGGCATCTTTTGTTGGAAAAGCTCTATATCCAAAACTCCTTCTACATCCTTTTTTTTTTGATTAAGTATTTTTACCTTTTCTATTCCCTATCTCTTGGGAACCTCTTCATTAATTTACCTACGTAACTGGATTTGCACTTGCTCAGCTTTTAATGCAACTTACTTTTCACAAGTTCATTTTCACTCCATATTTTTTGCATATAGGTAGAGAAAATACTTTCAGATTTAAAATGGAATCTATTGAATAGCTTGTCTTTGATCATTTGGTAATTAAGATGATGGGGCTGTCTTGAAATATGGCTCCTTCTTTCACTCAGTTCATTACTCAGATCTACTGCTGATCTAAGCTGCTTATTCTGAATTAGCTTTCTCAAGGTTTACATGGGCTGCATTTCTGCAAAGAACATCCCCTTATCCAAGTGACAGGTTGCCAAGGATACAAAGGCTTTGTTGATGGTCACGTTTAATGTCAGTCTTCCAAACAACTCAGGAGAGGTGTAGCCTCTGACAGATAATATTATATGTTGGTTTGCATTTTAGGTTTCTTTAAAAAACTGATTAAATGGTGTCAGGTAAACTCCTGTGAAACTTTGGAGGGATTGCTTTTTATCTTGGAAAGAGTTGCACGTGGTATATGGAAGGTTCCCAGAACCTTGAGGTGTAGCTGGCAGAAGTTAAATCAGAGCAGCAGAGTCTGCAGCACAGCAGTGCTCAGAAACTGTGGGATAGTCAGGGCCAGGATCAACAGTGATGGAGTTGGCAGCATCCTGGGGATTAATAAGAACAGAACAGTCTGCTGTGACACTTTTGAGTGTCTGAAACTCAGCCATCAACCCACCTACCAAGACCCAGTGGGGAGCAGGAGAGGTTAATCATATACATTTTTCTATTTTCGTTCGACTTCATTATCTTCTCTTTTAGGAAAGTTAAGTGTACTCATTTTCTTTTAATAAAACCCTGCTTGTGGCTTCTGAAAATTCTCCAACTGACTTTGGGGAGATTACAAAAAGGGAGATTTTAAGCGGGTTTATCACAGGGTTCATATTACTTGGGCTTCTATCAGAAAACAAGTAACAGATGAGATTATCTTGTTTGTTCTGATTTCACCAGACTAGGATCCATAAAATACACACCTTTTTTCAGCTCTGCCACTGTTTTGTTTTATTTATCAGTTGACTTTGAAGGAGTCACACTTGATACTGAAGGCTTCCCATATATAAAACAGAGGTAATTATACTGGTCTTCCTTGTAAAGCAATTTCAAATGCCCTGCTGAGGTGTGCTAGATGAGAATTAGAATTATTTGTTCAAAGTATAGTTAGGGACTTATCCAGGTTTGTGGAAATGTCACACTGGAGGAAATAATACACCAACTTTTAGCATACTTAAAATTTTTCATCTTGCCAAACCCAGGAAAAAAGAATATCATCAGGGAGGAAATTGCTTTTCAACAGGAATAGGAAAGTTTGTCAAAGAACTTACGGAGTTCCTTAGGTAAAAGTGGGACAAACATTCATGTGGGAAAACATTATCAAGATTTAGATCCTACTGCTTTCTACCTACATTCAGTTCAGTTTAAAATGATTTAGGGATTCGTGTACATATGCTTGTTTCTAAAGAAATCCTTATGCATCTAGTCACAAATAGCTTACTCACAGTCCAGTCTGGGTAGAGGTCCTTTATTCATCTTGCCTCTCTCCTCTCAGTTATAAAAGTTTGAGGAATAGTAAGGTCTGATGTATGTGCTTGTGAAAGAGTCATCTACAGTCACTGACTGCACCCAGGATCTTTTCTGTTGTCAAATGTCTGTTCTAAGGTTAATGCAGCTTTAACTTGGAGCATCCTTAAAAATCAGTTGAAAAGTCAGCTGCATCTTTGTATCTTTATCTTGCTATGGGATTCATTCAAAAAATCATTCTGCTAAACTGATAAAGTGAAATATTTGTCACACTTTTCTCACCATTTACCCAATTTAACAGAGAGCACATAATTTCACCAAAATTGTACGTAATTTTGATTCCTTTTTCAATCAAGGCTTTGAGAGCTGCCTAAGCCTTTCAAACTGACTTTCAGAATTCATAACTGGTCTTTTATGAAGTTGAAAAAAAAATCTTATCTGATTTTTGCTAAAGTGGTTTGATTGTATCAATGTTAAGTATATTTGTTGTTTAAAGAATATCATGAGATCCTTTATTATATTTTCCTTACTTTACTCTTATGATAAAATAATATATAAAAAATGACAAAATGATAAACAGTATGAACCTGAATGCTGTTTTCTTATAGATGCTGAATAAATTACACCAGAGGTATCTAATTTCTGAATTTTAAATCCTTAATATTTTTTCTTTAAAACAAATATTTTGAATATTAGTGGATATTTCTAGTTTTGATTTGGAATTCTTTCATTTAAAGCTGAAAACAGTTGTTCTCCAGACCATTTCCAGTGTAAAACAACAAAGCACTGCATTTCCAAACTGTGGGTATGTGATGAAGACCCAGATTGTGCTGATGGATCAGATGAAGCCAACTGTGGTGAGTATGCCAGTGGTTTTGAATATGTTACTGTAGCTTGAAATTTTTTAAAAAGGTGGCAAAAGGCAATAATTATTCCACTGGTTTTGTCCTCTTTCAGTGTATGATTATACCTGTTTGATATTGTAGGTGTACCTGGCTCATCCAGTTCTTGCTGGATGGTAATATTTTATGAGTAGTTTATAAAATTCATGTTGTGCTACTGTTTTATTGGCAGGAGCTGCAAATGAGTATCTCATTTGGAATTTTGAAGCATAATGGCATAGAATATTGTGACTTTCATAGGATATAATGACATTCTTTTTATTTCTCACAGTGTTGTCCAGTTTCTGTCAGTTCAGTCTGCATACTTTGTTGATGCTGAATATCAAGGATAGTGAAAATAGAATTTGAATATAATTTGAAAATCCTATTAGTTAAGGCTGGCTGTAGAGAAGGGTCCAGAGCAGATTCCAACTTGACATGACCAACTTTTGCTTTGCTGTGGGAGCTCCAGGGCGTTAGGTGCCCTAACAAACCACAAACTTAACATTCCCATAGGACTTTTCCAAGAATCTGTGATGCTTATGGAACTTCTGTACTTAAATGTGATAGTTTGAGGAAGCAGATCCTCTACAGAGAAGGTCGAGGATAGGATTGCACCGTAACCAAACCAAGCCCCAATTTATGTCAGATTTTACACAACATCCAGAACCACAGCGTTCTAACCCACTGAGGTGGGTTATTTTAGACCCAGTAACAATTAACTGTCACTTGGGAAAAAAAGAGATCACACTTTATATTCATAGTAGTAGTAGTTGTTCTCACTCATTGCTTGCATTGTTTGAAAGTACTGAGTCAGCTCTTTTTGTTGTAAATGAGAGAAAATAATAAATTTAAATACTCTACCTGGGAAATGGATTACTGATAATCAGAGGCAGAATGAGTGGATCATTATTGTCAGAAAATCAGTGAATGTGGATGTCCATGCAAAACACACACTAATGAACAGAAAACCTTATGAAATTTTCAAGACAGTTCTACAAAGGAAAATAGAGAAAAATTTTCTGAGATGGAACAGGACAAGACAAATAGTGTGGATCGTACAAATCTCTCCTCATTATTCATTATGCATCAGTAAATGGTTTGATGAAACTCATGAATCTGGACAGGTTTATGCTATCTCTGGAAAAACAGAGTAACAAAACTACAGGCCATAGTCAAGGACAAAGCACTGAGGAACATCCAGTTTTCCATGGATATCTTTCAAGCAATTGACACCAGCACACGTATGAAAATGTTGGAGGTGACAAAAATGCCTGGGAAATGGGACTCTTCCTCAACACTGAAAATCCAAGACCATAATTTGAATTGTCAAGATTGGGGAAACTAAATCCTATCAAATGGGGAGAAGTTACAATCCAAGAAATCAATTTGGCTTGAAGAAACAGTGAATGCAAAGGAGATGAACCTTTGCCACAGAGACGCTTTGTGTCCTCTTCTGGGATATCACAGAACCAACCCTGCACTGTTCAGTTTCTGAGCCACTTCACAGCTGCTTTTTCCTGCACTGTTCCACATCACCTTGATCTCCAACAAGCTGGTTTTTTTTCCACTATTGGCAACTTTCCAAGCTTCCAAACTGTGGATCATATTCTGACTTACCCATCCAAGACCAACTCATACAGCACAGTTTCAAAATAATTCAACTAATAATATCCTTAAGACACGAAACTTAAAAGCAAGGAGAAAAAAATAAAACTAATAGTGAACAGGAAAATTTGTATTTATAATAGGTATTTCACAGTAAGTCATCATTTTACAATCAAATGAACAATGTCCAAATTTCCAAATTACTGAAACAATTAAGTAATATAGAGGACCATTGTGTGCAATCTCAAGTTCAATAGGTTTTTCCAGTGATAATATATATAACTGGATATGTTGGTTCAAATCTAAGACTCATCTTGCCTGTTATCCCATCTCTGTGAGTGACTGAAAATGATTATCTAGGGAAGAATGTGTGAGCAAAGCAGACCAGTAGTGAAACTTCCCTGGGATATAGGGGAAGGCTCTAATAATTTGAGAATCAGAGATATTGTGAGTCAAATATGTCTCTGTGTGCAATAACCCTTCATGGATTTAGTTATCTTTTTACCTTTGTAAAACTTTCACAACATACTGTAGCAAAGTGTTCCACAGCTTAATCCCACAACTCCCTGAAAAAACACCTACATTTTTATTTTTAATCTCCCAGCTGCATATACTGCTCTTAGTTTTTGTGTTGAAAGAGACAGAAGAATTTATTTATATTCACAATCTTTGTGCCACACACAGTTATGTAGACATAGAACAACTAAACCTTAAGAAGAATAGGGTGGTTTAATCACATTTTTAAGTTTTCCATATTTTTAGTATTTCAAATATTTAAATGACCTTATTATGACAGTAGTTTCAACAGTTTATTTTTTTGATTAAAGATTGTTATTTCTGTGAACAAAATTTGATAGAATTAAATTCTAAAGCTGCAAACTGAGTATAAAAAAAAGATCTCCATATGTTGATGTAATACTCACTTGTTATTGTTTTGAGTTCACTTTTAAAATGCTTACAGTGCACAGCTTGTATAAAGGGTAGGTTTTTTTGCTCGAGTGCTGCATAGCCCTGTGTATTTTGCTTAGTCAACATCTGCTGCTGTGTGTTATTGGAGATATTATGCTGAGTAAATTTGCTAGAAGTGGTGTAAATGTATTTAGTTTTCTGTGGTTACTTTCTGACTGAGACAGTTGAAATAGAATTAGGAAATATATGTTTATTAATGAGTGTATGGTGTATTTTGGTAAAGAGTAGGTAGAGTTAATTTGTGCTTACTGTCCAGGCAATTAGAGAAAGCCATTTGATTTTGCTAATCCTTGCTCTCAACTTTAATATTTTGCATCAAATATGGGCCATTTGAGGTAGAATCTGAAAAAAGCTGTGTGTGGTCTTGAAAAGTGATTATGATTTGCTTTAAAGGTTATATGTATTTCAGGTCTTTATTAGCGTGATGTGTCAACATTAATATGACTGCTTTCTACTTCCTCACTTTTTTAATATTAATTTTATATGAATCTTATTTTTAGCCTTAGGAGTCAAAGTAAGCTTTTTTGCTGCTGATGAAGAATGTGTTCCTTGAGAAATTTGAAGGATGCATTATATAAACTTAAACTTCCTTTGACAGGCTTATAAATTCCTGTATCCAGCACTGGTGACAGCCCACCATTCTCTAGAACAGCAAACTGAGCTTTTTTCATTTTGGATTTTATCCCTCTCAGGCACACACACACACACACAAATGCAAAAACATGAAAATATGTGGAATTAAAATCCTCAAATGGCAATGTAGTGCAATTAGTGGCAAAAGAGTGTTTTCATTTGTAGGGATTGATATTTAAATCAAAATGCTTTTAAGGTTTTCTTTCAGATTTATATTTTTTTCCTATTTAAGCCTTCATCCTGTTTTCTTCATACTCATTTAGAAGTATTTCTAAAGTAAAATCCTAGTTCAGTATGCGCAAAAGATGAACCCCAACCAACCAGCAGCTACATCAGGTGATCACACAAATTTCTGAAAAAGGGCCTTTGCCTCTTACAGTACATCAGTGAATCTCTTAATAATAATTTGAAGAGAGAAATATGAAAACTGAGTAATCAGTACTTAATTCTTTGCCTTTGTACCATTCCTGTCTGAACTTTCACATTTTAAGGTCACATTTTATGAAAAACGAGAAAGCAATTTAGAGCTGAAGGCAGCAGAGACAAAATGTATGTGGGCCCACGTGTGCTTTGAATTGTTCCACAATTCAAAAAAAATAAGGTCTTGCACTGTTTACTCTGAGTTGAATAAATCCATCATTCTCAAAGATCAGGTAATTGTTACACAACTTTCCCAAATTTTTCTCTTTCTTTTTATTGTATCCTATCTCTGCTATCCCAGTATTTTCCTCAGTTTTCATTAACGTGGAGGAAATCTGATTTGTAATACATTGTCAATTTTTAGCTGCTATGAGAGATCAGAGGACGAATAAAACTTTCAGATTTGTGAAGGAGAGAGCCTTACAAACATGAAAAATATTTTGTATTAAAAATATAATTAAATATTCCTTTGTGTTTGGTAGAAATAGAATAAGAAGAGAAAGATTAACATTCAAATACTAATCATAGGGTTAAGGTACAGTTGGATAAATTTAAAAAAAAATCCAGCCATTCTTCACATGTATAAAGAGGCAATGCTAGAAACTGGGTTTAGCATCCCTGAGAACTAGATGATTCTTTTTGAAGAGAAATAAAATATATATTGCATGTTCTCTTCATTCTAGCAGGTAACTGAAATGAAGGGATGTCATCTCTGTATTCTGTGTATTACTGATTAGATCTTGGTATTTCTATTGAATGTGGAAGGATAAATAGAATATTTACATGTCACTGTGATGATACCTGTCATTAGTATTTAGAACACATTTTGTGGGCAAATATGTTATTGGGAGATTGTAGGCTTTACTAGAAGTACTTTAATAAATACTGGATGGATTGTGGGTTTGAAACTGGATGGATTGTGGGTCTGTGCTTTTGCAAAGCTGCAGACACAAAACACAAGTCTATCATATGTTTGGGGACAATATTTTTGGTTTGTAATGTAAATATTTTTAATTGCTTGCCAACACAAGTGTTTTTGAAATACTGTGATCAAAATATCATAGGCTGTAATCTTGAGAAACATCGTAGGAAAAAATATTTTGGGAGAAAAAGTCTTACAATCGTCGTATTGGCAGAGAATAAGGAGCAAACACAAAAGGCAGTATTGTAATTACCAGATTTTTGACTGTACTCAACTGCTGCAGCACCATTTACCTCCACCTTCTTGATATTCAAATGAAGTTTTGATTTATCACTGTAATTCCAGAATCACACCTAGAAGAACAGAATAAAACCAGCAGTTTGGACCATGGCATCAAGTCTAATCCTTCTAGTTTGTTATCCTTTCCATTTCACGAGCAGAAAAAGCAGGTTGATTTAAGCTGCTGTTTCAGTCCTCTTCAATTCTGTCAGTTTTTGGAACTCACTGAGTTGCCATGAGAGCAGTATGGAGCTGAACTGACGTGCTGTGACACAGCCTAACGGAAATTTAAAAAATTCCTATTGAAATATTACAGTGACATGTAATTTTAAATATGTCACTGAGGCTTTTACAAAGCAAACTGTGGGGGGTTTTTCCAACAAAAATGTCACTGATAACTTTTTAATTTACTTCATTTCATCTCAGTCCTTAGAAGCTGAAAGAATTATTCAAGAATTACTCACAGAAAGCACAGAGGCAGCTCCTTCCTGCTGGAGGAGTTCAGGATGTTCCTGTATCTTCAAGAGATTTTGCCTCCAATGCTTCTCTGTAAATAGAAAAGCTCATTGAAAATTTACATCATGAAGAAAATTATGCTCAGTTTAGCACTATAGGCTTTGTAATGTTTTACCTTGTACAAGTAGACTTTCAATCCAATACATCAGCAGGTGAATGGAAAGTTTTCTATCAGGCATGATTAGTCTTAAATTATTGTATGCAAGAATAACTTTTGAGAAATACGTTTTGTACATTTTTCAAATCAATATTCTTGTGGTTTACTGTGATCTGATCTTTTGTAAAGCAATCTTACAGAGAAATTCAAGGAAAAGTTAATGGAATTTTTGAGATTCAATGCAATAATAACCTCTCTTCAAACTAATTTTTCATCCTTTCTAAAGTTTATATTTTTAACTTTAAATAACAGTTTATACAGTGCATATTTTAATTTTATCAAATTTAAGAGTATATGTATTTTGATATAAATAAATAGAAGCTTAAAGAAATTGTCATGAGAAATAAATTATTCCTGAAAGTAACTTTTCAAATGTTATGGTCACTCCTTCTTAAATGTATCCAGCAATATCGTCACGCTTTTAAATAGAAGTCTTTCCCATTTTGACTCTTTGTTTGCAATGCTGTAAATGTTATTCACCGTAATTACAGATAAAAAAACTTGTGGACCTCATGAGTTCCAGTGCAAAAACAACAACTGCATTCCAGACCACTGGAGATGTGACAGCCAGAATGATTGTGGAGATAATTCTGATGAAGAAAACTGTAGTAAGTAACTTTTACCTTAGTCCATGTTATGAGAAATAGAGTTAGTTTAGCAACGTGTAAGTGGAAACTTTTGAATTTTGATAAAATGCACGTGTATGTTTTTACTCAGCACTTTCTGAGCTGTTGAAAATCTGTTGACCACAATTGAAAATGTCCCTTGATGAAATTCTTATAAATTCATGCTTATAAAGAGCTGTAATTCTGTGCCACCTATGCAAAAATGCCTGATCTATGGCTTCTTAATAAGGTCATTAATTCAAAATAAATATTGCAATTGCTTTACCTTTGGCATTTAGTTGCATATCACATTTCTTAGCTGTAGATAAGAATCATAAAAGCTGCTCAGTGATCACATGATAAACTTTGTTAACGATGAAGTTGGATCAAACACTACCTGCTCATCATATTCCTGAGATGATTCCTTTGTTTTCTATCATGAGAAGTCTGTTTCTGTCTATTTAATCACATGAAGAAGTAGATGTGGTTATTCAAAGTAGCTCAGTTAGCCCAGTTCTCCCCTACCTACGAGGAACCTGAAGGCCTAATATATCTCATTTACTTATAAATTCAAGAAATTAATATCTTGGTTTGTAGATAATCTTGAACTCACATTCCTGATGGCCTATCATGAATATGTATTTAGTACCTTCAAGGTAATGATTTAGAAAGCTTAGTAAATTAGGCATTGTAATGCTGAGTACCTGCTGTCTGCCCCTTTTTCCAGTGTGAGACATGGTGTCCATGGAGTGTCTCATTCTGTTCAAGATATTACAGTGGATTTGTCTTCCTTGTAATTACTCCCTGCATTTGAAAATGTTGTGAGTTACTGCAAGCAGTAGTGCTGTAGTTTCCATATACAAGTGTTTCATATAAAAATGAAGGTGTCATGTAACTCAGTAATCACTGAGAGCCTTTTGTTGTTATACCCTGCGAGGGGTTGATGCACAAAAGCTTTCTTAGCTTTGTGGGAGATTTTACTTAGGAATTGATTATTAGTGTCAGTTTCCTATATTATAAATAGCAAGAAATAACTTTATCTTCTTTTCTTCTCATGTAAAAATCAAATAAAGGGTCATAGTTTTGCTATCATGGTGTTAATCTGCATGACCGAACAATCTTTTGAAAATTAAAGAAGAAAAAATAAAAGCAGAAACTTCTACAAAATATTATTGCTGTTTACAAAATAAGTGTTGAGGATCTTATTTGGAATTTGCCTTGTGTGTCACCCAGTAGTAATGCTCTTCTTCCTTGAAGATCAGATCATCATAGTACAAAGTGATTAAAAGAAGTTCAAGTAATGAGGGAGCAGTCATCTATTTGGATTTTTTTTAATATTTATTAGGTTTTCCAACTTTGTCTTCATATCAATAACCAAGTTATATGTTCAGTTCTTGGCTGCTTGCTGATAAAGAAATCTGCAATTAGTTGTAATGTATGGAATTAGTGAGTTGAGAGTACCCAGACACAGACAGGGCATCAAAATAAATGGTGTTTTTTTTAATTTACTTTTGATTGTCAAGTGCATACTTAAATTCTAACTATTGAATCCCATATTCTACTGTTTAAATTAAGAACAGTAGGCTGACACGGTTTTAAAATTCAAAATCTTGGAAGCATTGGGAAAGTACATAATACTGTTCAATTGTTTCAAATGGATGTATGAAATTTTTATAGACTATCAAGTCACTTATAGAATAAAGTGTAATGAAACATATATATGAAATTAAAACTTCAAAAGCATTTGACAGAATATATTACATTGCACATAGCAATAAATTGTTCTTAGCATACATGAATATACAAAGGGCTGTCAGGCAATTATATCAGGAAATGAGTTGTTTCTCAAGAATGCAGAAAGAATTCACTGAATTATAGAAGCTCAGCTCAAGTATTTACATTTTTCTATGTGGTTTGTTCGCATGCAGGAAATTCACTATCCTAGTGAAGTTATCAGAGGTGTAACAGAATGCATATTAAAAAATGTCATATATGGGTTTGAAAAGTTGTTAGTGATATCATGCAAATCATTGTGCCCACTATGACTTTGTTATATAACTTCTCTTACAGTCTATTGTTCTTTAACTATATTTGAACCTTCTGAAATAAATAAGAGTTATTAGGAAGGATATAGGTCCATAATGAATTTGCAGTAAGAAAAGTAGCATACACTGTTAATTCTTCTGAGGTAATATCTTTTTGGGGAGGGTTCTTTTAGAGTTTTTAAAAATCAAAATAAATTAGAGCAAAAACAGTGTTTTGTCTTTCAGGAAGCTTCAAAAGAAAGATTCCACAGTAATGACTATCATTCCTGCTAAGGCAGCACCAGTAATTTTTTATTTAATGTAATTAAAGAAAATATAATATACTGTAAACATTGAAGCAAAGCAAAGATAATAATGCTGTAGAAAGATATTAATTCAATCAGTGTAAAAATATTACTGTTGCTAGAAAATCTTCCTAATGCTGTTTTGTTGCTTCTACAAGTTGTCAGGAAAACAAATTAGTTAATTTTGTCCTGGGATGAGTTTGTATCCGAAATGCAATGAGAAGTAGCAATTATTTAATCTTTACTGAAAATGTTTTAAATGAGCATATTGAAGTAAAATAAGCTGGAGCATCTCATCATATTGAGTACATTTTGAATTGATGGTGCTGTAAATTCACGTTCTTCACATTGCTTATGGCTCAGCTGACTTGGTACAAGAGATGATGGCTTGTGTGAGTTCCCTAAAAGCAGCTGGGTGTCAATGCCAGCCACAGGCACATGTGCTAGTTTAGTATGATAAAGTGATGTGTACCAAAGGTTTTTTTCTTTTGCAGACACCTACCAGTCTCAGGTTTAGATTAACAAAGAACAAGTCTTGTCTTTGTTTTAGGTAATGCTAAGTTATTAAAAGGATAAGTAAAGGAAATCTGCATTTAATGCCACGATACATATATGAGAAAACTCCCCCTAATACCACTTCAATTATCTTGTGTTTAGGAGCATCCTGCAGAATGAATGCAGGATGTTAGTGCTTTAGTAGTTTTTTAATGATGTTTAGTTTTTTCTCAGTATCACAATAATTCTCCGAAGAATCTTGGTAGATCTGAAAGTATTTGCATTACTCTCTTACTGTATGTAAATGAAATTTAGTCTAAAAATGTTATGGAGGAAAATACCACAGGAAAAAAAAAATTCTTAAATTTTGCAAGTTAGTGGGTTTACCTTTGTTATAGTCGTTCATTGATTGTTGTGGGGTTTATGTATATTTTATGGAAATGCTAATGAACATAGGGTTGTTTCTTTTCTTTATTCAGAGCCTCAAACATGCACTTTGAAAGACTTTCTGTGTGCAAATGGAGATTGTGTTTCAGCGAGATTCTGGTGTGATGGAGACTATGACTGTGCAGATGGCTCAGATGAGGTAGGCATCTTCCAGGAAACGTATTTTCTTGGAAAATTAGTAGTTTTATATTGTTGGAGAATGAATTCCTGCATGCAAATATTTTAAAAAGCAGCAATGGGAAGTCCACACATGAATACATACATGCAAATATCATTACAAAATTAAAACTAAACCTTGTGAAGTTGTTATTTTAAAGCGTGAACATACAAGTAAAATAAAGTTTAACAGTAGTCTACAACTTTTTGTCCCAGCAATGATCTGGACCTCTTCCCATCCTGGAAATACTTTGTGTCCTGGTTGGGAAACCATACTTCCTACACTCAGGAGTGGTTTGGTTTGTGGGGTTTTTCTGTGACAACAAAGTTGATTGTTTGTAGCAGAAGCTCACTGGATAATACTTTGCTGGTTTTCCGTTCTTTCTTTTCTCTTCTTTCCCTTCTTTCTTGCCAGTACTGGACCTCAATTGGTTCCCAGCTACTTAGAGGGTGCAAGCCACCTTTCATGAATCATATCGACAAATATATTGAATTTCAAAAGACATTATTGTATTTCATAGTGTGTAGGAATATAGGCTGTAACTTCTGTGAGCAGCTGTGTATTCCTCAATGTTTATATTAAACTCTTGATCTTGTATATTGGTTGTTTCTTTTGTACCAGAGGTATTGTGACACAGGCTGTTCAAGGGATCAGTTCCAGTGCTCCAATGGTCAGTGCATATCAGCAAAGTGGAAATGTGATGGTCACGAAGACTGCAAACTTGGGGATGATGAGAAAAATTGTGTACCAGGTATTGATTTAAGTAATGCTGAGAAACAAAATGAAGGAGGGAATAAATCAAGAGTAAAAGAAGAAAATAAATCAGCAAATAAATATTTCATGGGCACTAGAAGAGAAGTGCAAAGAAATCTGAAATACTTTACCATTTGAGTGGGTATCATTGCGTCTTCCTACTTGTGTTTTGAAAACCCCACTTGTGTACAGCTATGCAATATGCATCTTTTGGGGGGAATGGTATTTAACTATGTTCAAAAGTAATTTGATAATATATACTCAGCATATAAAATTCTGCTCTGAAAACACTAGTAAGTCTTGGCATGTTACTGAAGTGTCTGTGGGATGTTTTTCACTTTGTGGTGTTCATTCAAAGATTACTAGTCCTTATGAAAAATTATTTTCTCTACCAAATTATTATTTTTGTTGTTATTATTTTATTTCCTTTTTACTCTCTTGGAAAATATAGCTGTTTATTTTTGCAGGATTTTTCCTAAATTTTTTGTAATCTGCATCTAGATGGTACAACAAAATAGAAGTCTCTGACAAAACTCCCCTGATTTAAAATGTGACAAGAATATCCACCTATATTTTAAATAAAATTGATTAATATTTATTAATTTTAACTGGAATAATGTATACTTGCTAAACCCATGTTTTATTGTAAATTTTGGCTTATTTAATTATAAGCACTCATATAATTTTAGCTAAAGCCTTTTTTAAAAAACTATAGTCATTCTATGAATATGTCTGTGTGTGTAGTTACTTTTATTACCAAGTGTAAGGAAAACATAAAAAGAAATTTCTCAGTGATAAAACACAAATATCCTTTCACTATCATTATACAGTTCATTTTTGTCAAATCTTTCACTGTAGTTTAAAAAAAAAAGTTTGGAAAAGCTCTACTCAGCTACAGACACAGGTTTGCTCACTGTATTAGCCAGAGGAAAACTTTAAATTATAAACCAAATTATTTATAAATTGTCTTTTTCTTAATGCTAAAATATGTGTTTGTAACCAGCATCTCCAACCTGCTCTTCAAGTGAGTACGTGTGTGCAAGTGGAGGCTGCATTTCGGCATCTTTGAAGTGCAATGGAGAGTATGACTGTGCTGATGGATCTGATGAGGTACCTGAACAAATTTCTGTTGATTTTTTTTTAACAGTTTTAAGTCTCAAGTTAATTGAAAGGGCAAATATGGTTTTATTGCATCCATTAAACACTGTCAGATAACTTAACCTCATGACTTTACGCTGCATTATGTTTGTTTGCTCTGTGGACACCTCTTGGAGTAGACAAATTTGTTCTTCCTAAGTCAAAACTTGAGCGTGGTTCTGCAAGAGTTTGCATCAGGGACTACTCTGTACTGGCAACATGGACAAATCTGTGGCAAATTTGGCTCCCTCTGTCCTCTAGATTCTTCTAATACAGCCCTAACAGGCATCTCAACCTCCAGGTGCCTTTAGGCCTTGCTCTTCCTACATCATGCACTGTTGTTATCTATTTAAGAAATCATCACCTTCATAAACGACTTCAAGCTAAAAAAAAAAACCCAACCAGAAATAGTTGTTATTTCTCGTAACCATAAGGGTACCAGTTATGTATAACTTAATATGAATATAATAATGAAGGATGCTTGAGCCAAGTGCTGCACAGTGCAGGTGAAGACAATCCACTCTGGAGGTTCCTAGTCCTGATCAATGGGGCTATGAGCCAGTTCACACTAACTGGCCTCATACCCAGGGTTGTTTCTTGTAGGGCAGTTGACTTCAGAGATGTAAATTGTTTCCATTGCTCATACAAGCAACATAAAGAGGAAATATCACAACATGTGAAACGTGGATACCATTTCACTTGGCCTTCAGTAACTATTTAAATTGCACATTGCATTGTCAGGGACAACTTCCTTGTACTAAATATGTAGGGCAATGAAAGTTGGGAAATTTTGTTGGGTTTGCCTTAAGTGTGTTGTTCTCATTCATTAATACGTAGTTCACACCTGTTTTCACACAGATGGATTGTGTAACAGAATGTAAAGAAGATCAGTTTCGATGTAAAAATAAGGCCTACTGTATCCCTGTCAGATGGCTTTGTGATGGGATCCATGACTGTGTGGATGGCAGTGATGAAGAAAACTGTGACCAAGGCAAGAGGCACTTCTCTTTAAAAGGCTTAGTTTATTGGACTTTTTATTAACACATATTGCAAGTTAGTGGTACCCTGGCCATTCTGAGTGATCAAAGGAAAGCTCTGTGACCTCTTTCAACAAGGACAGTACAGCAGCTTCACAAGTGATTTGCAGGAAGAAGCAAAACTTAGGTTGTTTATGACTCACATCATGTTCCTCCTCTGTGTTTCCTTCCCCAGTGATCAAAAGGTTGGGTTGTTACTGGAAACATATTCATTTTCATCAGGGAAATTAGTAATAAATCAAGTTAAGTTACAGTTTTATAGGCAACAATAAATTACAAAGCCATGCACAATAAATTACAAAGCCATGCAATATAATGAATGGTTGCTAAATAAGTAATCTTAAGACCCTGGGTTTCTATTTATTTCATAGAATCATAGAATGCTTTGAATTGGAAGAGACCTTAAAGTTCATCTTGCTCCAACCCCCTGCCATGGGCAGGGACACCTTCCACTAGCCCAGGTTGCTCCAAGCTCCATCCAACCTGTCCTTGGACACTTCCAGGGATGGGGCAGCCACAGCTTCTCTGGGCAACCTGTGCCAGTGCTTCACCTTCCTTTTTGTGTTTGTGTTTGTCCAGGAGCTTCTTTTTCATGCACTCAGTCCTCCTGGCATTTTTGGCTGACAACTTCTTTTTTGGGATGCATCACTCCTGAGTTTGGAGATGATCCTTGAATATCAACCAGCTTTCTTGGGCCCCTCTTTCCTCCAGGGCTTTATCCCATGGCGTTCTACCAAACGGATTCCTGAAGTGGGCAAAGTCTTCTCTCCTGAAGTCCAGAGTAGTGAACTAGACTCACTATTTTTACTCAATTTTACTCAGCATTTTTCTTTCCTGTTGGTTTTTTTTTCCAGATTTTAATTCTTTCCTTTTCTTGCAATTGAGTAGTTCTGTGTGTTAGTCACATGTTATGTGTGTAAATTCAAAAGCATAATGGAGTGATAATAATCATGTAGGAAGCAAACAGAGTAAGATATCCTTTCCTTATTTTGTTCTAAGTCTACTGAGCAATACTTTCCACTGGGGGGGAGGGAGATGTCTTATGGGTGTGATTGAGTTTGAAAGAGAGACCAGAAAATTCAGAAAATGGGAAGAATATTCCAGAGATGTTTAGGTGCAAGAAAACAGATAACAAAGTTTAAAAACCCCTTCTAGTCCATTTTAAAGCTGCTTTTAAAATGTCTGGACTGTATCTCTTTAAAAACCAATGAAGTGTAGGTAAATAGTAACATTCTTATTTTCTCTGAAGCCACATTATTCTTTGGATAGCATAATAGAGCTTCTGTGAACTGCAAATTGCTTATAATGCAATAAGAACCCTCTTGCCTGGTTGGTTATTGCTATAATACTTTGTATTTATGTCACAATTATGATTCTGTTGCAGAAATCTATTTTATAAAGGAATTATGACAGCCCGAGCAATCACATGAAACAAATGCCAGTTTATCTTACTGATAACTAAGTTTTTCATCTTTGGAAATACAGCAAACACAAATGGAGTTTTATTCTACAACATTCTAAAATAATATCCGTAATATTTATCTGCAGCCCACTGTGCATATTTATAAAAATAACTCTCTTCAGTCTTATTATACAACTAGAATGATGGTTATACTGCGATTACACACAGAATTATTTATATTTATCTCTTTCATCCTGAAAAGTACTTTAATTTTATATATTTTCCTTGGATAATAATAGAGGATATTTCTGTTAATGTTCATAAGTTATATTTGCAATGGGAGTGGTTGGTAACATAGTGTGAGAGTTCCCAGCATCCTCTTACACTACAGGTGTTTCACGGAAATTAATTTTCTGGGAAAAAAAAATTAAACCATTCTGAACCTTTATAGCAAAAGAAAGCCTTCTGTTGGTGTTAATGGGGTGTGAACAGGGCACTGAATGAATAAGTAAAAAGACACTGGAGCCTGATCTAGCTCTCAGAGTGGGTGTAATGTGTTGAGCAAAGCCACAGCGAGAGTTTTGGCATTATCATATAAAATTTCATTGTTTCCTCTTCTGCAGGTACACAGCTTTATTTCTTTTACACTCTCAGGAAACTGAGAAACAGTTACCATAAAAATGTGTTATATGGGAAATTAATTGCAAGAACTTTTCATAACTTTGTTGATTGGTGGTGATAAAATTTAGTCATAATTGTGAAACAAATTCCTTCTTACTGCTCCACATATTAAAACTGAATCCAGCTTGAAAGTTTAAGCACTCCACCTTAAAAGACTTTCCCTCACCCTGTGTTCCCTTTTGTTAGATGATTCATAGTTCACTCAATACTGGTTACATGGAAGAATTTATTCTTGCTGCTTTCTGTGTTCAGTAAATATCCTAATGAGAAATTTCAGAGTTACAAAAAGGAAGATACTGTTAGAGGTCACCTAGTCTTGTCTGCTCAGTGCCTCTATGGCTAGATCTTTCCTAATTACAGCATTTTTAGGTGATGGGGATATTACAAGCCTGGCCAAGCCTTTTGCTCCTCAGAAGAAAAAGGTGATACCTCACGGCTAATGGACTTCAATCACTTTGTTCTCTGTGTGTGGCTCAGAGTGTGGGAGTAGAAATAGATGGAGGATCAGACATTCACATGAAACAAACCTGGACTTAAGTGACCTTTCACACATTTGACCGAATTTCTATCTTCTGTTTTATACCATTCTCTGATGGCACAAATTACTGATGTGCCCTTGCTGAGAGGCAGCATCACCAAGGGGAGTTAGAGACAGGTAGTTTAGACATCTGGCTGAATGCAAGGGGAACATGTCTAACTGGTGAGTTGCTGGTGTCTTTGATAACTGCCCTTTCTAGTCAGGCCAAACAGGTAATTCCTAGCTAACAGTCCTGAGAAGGAATGGTCAAGGAAGAGATTTTTTTAATGCGTTTTTCTCTCTGCCTCTCCAGCTCATTCATTTGGAATCTGTAAATTTATCTATGCTAGGTGTCATTCTCTGCAAATGGTATGTGATAAGTGGTTGTACTGGTTTTATCAAAAGCTGACATTTTCTTTTGTCTTTCTGTTTTCCTGAATTTTTTTTTCTGTCTTCTTTTCATCTTCCCAGGGGGAAATATATGTAGAGCTGATGAGTTTTTGTGCAATAATTCCCTCTGCAAACTACATTTTTGGGTTTGTGATGGTGAGGATGACTGTGGAGATAACTCTGATGAAGTTGCTGAAATGTGTGGTATGACATTACATTTTTCAGTACTTTCCATGTAATAAAGCAAGAATAACATATACATAAATATATAGGGACACTTGTCTAAGTTTTGTTTATTTTGCTTATAGAACATTAGCTTGAAATGTAGGATATAGTTTTCTGTTATTGCTTTCCATGTAATTTTAGATATGATATTTGTGAAAAATTAATCTTTTTTTGTAGGAAGTCCACAGAAGGGTAAAAGTTACATCTACAGTATGATATTTGATCACCATTACACTTGTTTAAATTCTTCTGTATTTACCGATCCTCAAAAAAGGTATAAATTACCCTTATCACAAAAAATAATTTCATTCCCTAAATGAAGAACTTACACTGTCAACACTGTTGAAGTGCTCTCCTGTGAGGTACCAGAAGTTAAAATCAAGCACAATTCGTATGTCAAGTACAACTGTGTTCCTGTACCTTCTTATTGCTTTTGATAAGGAGACATTAAAGAAGGTTTTTTGAATAATACCAACTGGGTAATAGCTGATTCTTTTCTTTAATATGCAGTAAAGTTTCCATGCCCTCCAACAAGGCCGTTCAGATGTAGAAACAACAGGGTTTGTCTGCGACCTGAGCAGATTTGCAATGAGGTCGATGACTGTGGTGATAACTCGGATGAAGATCACTGTGGTAGGTGATATTACCTTTCAAGGCATTCAGATCAGAGAAAACAACTTGAAGGCAAACTTTGTTACAGAGATCTGCTTGTCCTTCAGTAAAGCTTAACTGGAGGTTAGTAGATCAGAATTTGAAACTGAAAGAAATTAAGCTTGAAGTGATTTCCAGTTGCTTAATACTTCGTGGTCGTTCCCATTTGTGTGTGTCTAAAATAATCTAAGACTCTTAAATACTGATTTATTTTTCTCTTATTAATTTGTAATTACATAGATAAAATCACATACAAACCAAGACCATGTAAAAAAGATGAGTTTGCTTGTAATGATAAGAAATGTATTCCGATGGAGCTGCAGTGCGACTGGTTTGATGACTGTGGAGATGGTTCAGATGAGCAAGACTGCAAAATAAGTGAGTTTGGCTGACAAGATCTGTTTTTGTGATTGTAGCAGAAAAGAGACAATTCATCTGAGCAAAACCTACTCAACAATGCAGAAGTTGGTTTAATGTAAAGTTATTTCTTTTAGTTAAAAAAAGGAGGTAGTTCTGTGCCACAAGAGAAAGGCAAGTTTTATAGGAATTCAAGCTGTAGTAATTTTTAGATTAGTTAAAAGTTCTTGATGAAATTTGAGTATAAGTTGATTGTATTTTGCTTCATATTTGCAACAAGAAAAGATTTAATATTAAATTCTTGATATGAAATGTAGTATCTCAATTACATATTGTCAATTTGTATGCATATTTAGATAAAAACTGTAATGACATTTATTTGTTAAAAATTTACCTGATACTCTTAACGGAAAGTCAATCTTTTTATTTGTTGTTGTTACTTTAGGTTTCATTTTTAAGAGCTAAACCAAATCTATCAGGGATTATTTAGACACTTTGTTTATGTTTAGGTGTTGCTGAGTATACATGTGAAGATAATGTGAATCCTTGTGGAGATGATGCATACTGTAATCAGACAAAAACATCCCTTTTGTGTCAGTGTAAACCTGGCTTTCAGAGAAACAGGAGGAATAGACAATGTGAAGGTACAGATATATTCCATCATCCCTTGCTTTAAAATATTAAAAGTTGACTGTGTAGTCAATTTTCTGTGCCAGAGAAGGAGATTCATATCACATACTTTTTTCCACAGAGTAAAAGTTGTTCCATAGCTATGGGATTAAGAAATCAAAAATTAAAAAAAAAAAATTATAGGATGTAGATTCACACTCTTTACCTGGAGAGGTTATCAAAGATTAACATTCATTATGAATGTCAAAAGATTCAAGTCAGACAATTAAATAATTCAAGGGGTAAATGCGTGATTTGAGGTCTAGTAGATTATTTAACTGAGCATTTGGGATTAGTGTTTAAATTGACATATGAAAATAATTTAAGGTGCTTAAAATAATGAAGATGCTTTTAAAAAAATGAAATTAAAATAAACAGATAGAAAGTAAAATCCCCTAGAAAATGTTGTCTTGATATATATGATGCCATACTGGTCATCAATAAGACATAGTTGTTTTAATGGTAGGGTTGATTGGAAAGATAAGATAAATCTGCCTTCCCAGAGAATGGGTTGTGAATTCATTTTCTTACTGGCGAGCAGTAATTTACAGAATTTCAGATCACTCCAATGGAACTATCAAAGTGAATATATAATTCATTGTTTGGCTCTTAAGAAAACAGTAGTAAGAGGAGCTTTTCCAGTAGAGGAGGATCATGTAGTTTTGACTGTACCAGAGGTAGATATGCTGGACATAATTGTAGCAGGTGTTTTTATTGTCAAAGTTGATTTCAAGTTCTAATAATGAAAAGATTGATATATGAAGGATGGAGAAATAATATTAAAAAAATAAATCTTTCTGAGATAAGTTGATTGCAGTGGAAATAACATTAGTGATAATTGCAAAGGTTTTCCTTTCACTGTTGCAAGATATACTAGTGCTTACAAGTTCCTTTTGTTCACCTGCTTTGTTCCATGCTCTTATGAACATGTTGAATAATAGTGTTTTAAACTATAGGTATATAAATGACAATTCTTTTCTCCATAGATATCAATGAGTGTATGGTATTTGGTGCCTGCTCCCAACACTGCAATAATATTAAGGGGTCATACAGATGTGCATGTGAGAAAAATTATAAGGAGAGGAATAACAGTTGCATAGCAAAAGGTAAGGCTATAAAAATCAAACTAAAACAGTACTAAATTAGTGGTTATGTACCTGGTTGGTAACACTAATGTGTTGCAGATTCTATTTATTTTTAGATAAATATTTCTTGAATAGTTCACAGAAATAACTCTCAAAACCACCTAGCCTTACTTTTCATTTCAGTAAACAATAAATTCTTATAACTTCTATGTAAATGAACTTACTTAATTTGAAAGCCCATTTCTAACTCCAGCTTTCTCCATTTACAAAAATATACACACAAATAAGAAAAACAGAGGTTATACATCAGCAAGCACGTAAGCACATGAAGCTTTAGAAACTTGAGAGAAGAATCAACTCCATCATAGAAATCTATTTTAGAATTTTAGGAGTAGTGTTTGGAGTTAATATTTTTTGCTTTGTGTTGAGAAATTCTACAGATGTTGTTTAAGTGGAGTTTTTCTAAGTATAATGAGTTAATTATGTACTCCTTATATAAATCAGCAGCCTAGGTTGTGGTCCAGTGAAAGAAAAGAAATAAGCACACAGAGATGTTATTTCTGTTGTTCGTAAGGCAGAGGTATTGCACAAAATGGAGGTAATTGTGAAGTCTGGCTGTTATTTAACTTATAAGTCATGAAACAAGCAATAATACAGCTCACATAATCTTTATGGGTCTGCATCTGGATAATTCAAAGTGTGATCACAGCATCTCACCTGCAATTTAGTGAGATTTTGGTGTGACTTGGAGTCTTTAGTGCAGAATGAGTGTTGAAGTTACAAGGTGTGGCTCCTTCTACACCCTTGTACACAAACCTGAGCAGCACCTGATCTGAACTTTATGGCCAGGGAGCACATCTTGTGTCCATACATCCTAGAACCATGACAGGTTGTATCATGATAATGCCACTTCTTCCTTCTTTGCAGCACACCAGTCAGTAACATAAGTACACCCACACTTACATGGTGATAGTCAGCTTTCTTACATGCATTATCCACATTTTTTGATGCAAATTTACCATGGGAAGATCATATTAATGAGTCATTAGTAATTCCTATACAACATGGACTCCATCAGGGTTTATCAGCATTGTGTATTGCTAAAGAAGTCAGATTATGACATGGGAACAAACAAGGTTACTGACTGAGGATAATGGTTTGTTATTATAGGAACACAGATGTAATTCTGTGATATAATTCATAAATTCATAATTTTAAAATCTGGGAATCGTTATCCTAAATCTGAATTTTTCACAAGCTTCATTTCCATTGTAATAAAGTTAATTTTTCTCTCTTTCCCTCATTGATACTTGCTTTAATAAAACTCCTCTTTGTTGTTGCATTTATCAAGAGGAAGGGAACAAATGATGTTTGATATTTCGTACTCACAAGGAGGAAGCGTGTTGGACAGACATTATTATAATTTGCTTCTCTATGGATAAATGTGATATGAACTGGGAAATAGAATAATACAAATGCATTCTAATGTATCCAGCAGATTTCAAACTTTCTCAAAACTTAATAAATGGATACTAAACAGCATTTCTTTATGAATAATAAACTTTACAAGATCTGAATCAAGATGGTAACTGGGTATCCATTAATATCACCCTTTCAGAGTTATCTGTGTTTACTTTCTGAAATGAGGAGAGGTAAGACAAAACTGCACAGGTTCTGTTGCAGTTGATTTCAAAACTTCACTGCTTTCTCTAAAGATAAAATCATTCCATTTCTAATTTCCAATTAAGCAATTTGAAATAATGTTTATTGACAACTCTGTGTTCCTTTAGTATATACATTTAGGACCCTCTAAAGAGAGCATGCATATAAAAATATGGGTTTCATATGGGCTTAATGCATAATATCCTGTATTTTTGTATACTGCTTAAAAGTGTTCAAATTCTTATATCACATACTCCTTAAAATATAGTCTTAGGTGTCACGCTGTGAATTTGGAGAGCTCTGAAGTGATGTATATTGATATCAGAGTATCAAGAGTTGCATTTATAGCCCAGACTGTGAGTGTTTTTGCAGTCTTCAACAACCAAAAAATAATTTTAACAGAAGAAATTATATCAGATAAACACCAGAAAGCTACTTGAGTGAAAACCACTGATTTTTGCATTAGTTGACATTTACCTTATTTTTGTTTCATTATAATAATCCCTAGGCTCTGAAGATCAAGTTCTCTATGTTGCTAATGACACTGACATCCTGGGTTTTGCATATCCATTCAACTACAGTGATGCTCATCAGCAAATATCACATATTGAACATAATTCAAGGATAACTGGAATGGATGCATATTTTCGAGGGGATATGATTGTTTGGAGTACTCAGTTTAATCCAGGAGGGATTTTCTACAGAAAACTTCACGACAGAGAGAGAAGGCAAAGTAACAGTGGCTTGATAGTAAGTGATCAAAATCAAAGATTAAATGACACAAATTTATTTTGATTTATTTTTCCGTTTTAATAATATGTGCTAATTTAGTAAATTGAAATGTCTGCCTGAGAATGATTTTATTTCAGCTGTATTTATGGGTGCTAGTGCCTTTCCATGCAAGACTCTGACAGACTTCGTAGAGTCTCTAAGAGAACACAACTATAGTATTTGAAAAGCTTTTCTACAGAGAAATAACCAGTATTATTAGAAGCTTAGAAATCCTTTCTTTTGACAGACAAAAGAGAAAATGTAATAGAGTTATTTAAGAAGAAAGGCATGAATTTCAAATTCTTGGAAGACAGAAAATGTAGATAGGCTAAAGACAACCTTGATTTCTGTAGTGACCATGCAAACAATAATAGGCAAAGCTATGACATACATTTTAAAATGGAAACAGTGAGTATTTAGTCCTTTATATGTTGAACTCCATAGCATCTTCTTTTGAATAACCATAAATGTAAGTTTGCATTTTACAGCAGAAAGGTGAATTTTTCTAAGCTAGGGTGATTTCAAATGGTCTTTACTTGAAAGTAAAATAAATGCAGATTGATACTCATTTTGCTAAATATGTTTCTACAATATATGATAGTGTTGAACTGAAAATAACAATGCTGTCTTTGCTTTGGTGTTTCTATATTGCTGTAAATTCAGATTTTGGTTTTTTTACTCTTAAATTGATAGAGTACAATAGAGTTTTTAGTTTTTTCTTGGCCAGTAATAAATCCAGTTATAAGTAACACCTGTCTGGCATGTTTCCTCAAGCTTAGGAGAGGTGACAGCGATGACCTTCCATCACATGAATACTTTTATATACCCAGTAGAATAAACAGTGGTAGCAAGAGTAGGCTAATCTTTCATCTATAATTCATACACATCTGTAACCACTTCTAAGTACATTCCATCCAAGGGTATTTCCTTTCCAAATGAATGACATTCCTGACCTTTGATACCAGCAGAGCAAAAAGTCTGAGGATGTAAACACCAACAGACACTGAAGGTAGTTTGTGTCTGTGATAACACCTATATGAGAAGAGTGGTTTGAAACCAACATTTTCACCTGACCAGCAGAGGAGTCTATATTTTGTTGATGGAAAGTGTATGTAAAGTAGATCTGAAGTGGAAAATAATTCCTAGCATTTCCAGTAGGTCAGCTGTGTCATTGGAGTTTTGCAGAAGGATACTCGTATTGAAGATGTGAATTAATTCTACTGTGGTGTTTTTCTTATTTAAATGTGGCAGAAATCGTGACAGACAGATCTCTGTATTGAGTTAATGATTAGAAAGTAATGAACTTGTAAAGTCTTGTGAAATTAGTGTTGAGGGGGTGTTGTTGTTATTTATTTATTTTCTTTTTTTTTGGTAATATGCAAATGCGTTCTGCAATAATAAGAGTAGTCTGCTGACCCACCACCTCTCTAATGGACTTGTATTTTCTTAAGGGTCTATATAATTTAACATAAGCTTCCTTGACACTTCTTTGTAGTCAAGGGTTTGAAATTTTCACAGCTGATTTGTCACGGTCTCCCTGTTTTAACTAATAAAAATAAAGTGTTCTTAGAATTACCGTTTTTCTAATGTACTGAAATAGCTTTTCCTTTTTGTATCTCTGTTTCACCATTATATGAGAATACTTTTTAGTCAGTAGCTTCCTTTTCAATTCAAAATTATTGAAAAAATGATATCTTTCTTTATACTCCACCTTCTCCTGTCTCCTCAGTGTGGGTAGGTCCTCATGATGATGTTGATCCAAGCCATACAAAGCCGTTTACAAATCTGTTTGTGGAAAATGCACAGACTGTATTTGAATATATCTTGGAAACTTGTCATTTATATTTGTGAAACATTCACTTCTCATTGTACTAAACTTTTCAGTTATTTTCCCAGCATTATCTCATAAATACTCAAATATTTTTGCCTTATATACAACTGATCAGTAGGTTAATTGGTTTTACAGTGTTGCTTTAAAATTGTCACTGAAATTCGGTTTTAAAAAGCTTGAGCATTTCTTAATTTTAACCCAAGGTTTTTAATGGATAAGTTTTCAAAGGTTACATTATAACTTTTATATCTAGACTTTGATATGTAAATCAGGGCAGTAAACTTGAACAAAGTCACCTGCATTTTCAGGTAATTACATTAATGCAAAAATCCATCTCAACCCAAATTGCTCCATGGAATTAGCATATCAAGAGCCTTCCTCAGAGAATAGCTTTAAGTAGCTCTTCTGTTTTTCTGTGAAAAGGGGTTTAAGCTTGGTACAAATTGAAGCATTAAAGGAAATAGTAAATATGAACTCTTCAGAGTTTATTGACAGATGGAGAAGAGGATTTAATTCCAATGGAGTTCAGACAGTCTAAGTGAATTGGTGATAACTGGTGCAGCTGTTTACTGGCATAATCCTTGGAGAGAGATGTACAAGTTACCTGAGGTGAATACTCAACATGGAGTGACCTCACACCTAAACTCAAGTGCTGTTTTTTGTGGAAGAGGACAAAAAGCTGAACATTAGAATAATTGCACCATATAACAGGGAGGGAAACAAGTTTTATAGTGTGTTCAGTCAGTATATAGCAGCTTGCTCCAGTCCCAGAGCTCTGGGAATTTAACAAGGACTCTTCACCACTCTTGAGATTAATCCACATATATTCTCCCAAGGGCTGCCTCTGGGCCCAGTGGAATGCAGGGCATCCCTGGGAATGCAAACTATTCCTAGATTGTTTTCTCTAAACAGCACTAATTTATGGTTTTACTTAGAGCTATAGCTCTGTGTGGATGATGGTTGAGTACTTAGGAGGCCTCTTTTATCTGGAATCATCTGGTTGGGATTTTTAAATAATCCTACTTACATAATACAAATGGTGATTTGGTGAACCACTGCACCTACTGGGGTGCTCATCTGGCAAAGAAAATTTTATGTTTTGGTGAGAAAAACTCTAAAAGTTTTCTAGTATTATTGTTTTTCTTTTTTATTTTTTTTTTTTTACTGTTCAACTATTTTTTTGAAGTTATTTTAAGCAAAAATAAAACATTTATATACGTTGTTCCATAGCAATTCCATACCAAGAAGATCTGTAAAGCAAATAAGATAAAATATTGCTTGCATATGTTTTATGTTGGAAATTAGATTTATCAGTTTATCTTCCTGTTAAGCATTGCAAAGTGATGGGTTCCTGCTGCATGTGTAACATATTTTCTCCAGTCAAACTCAACTTTAGGGGCTGAAAATTTTTTGTTTGTTTTTTTGTTGGTGGTGGTGGTTTTGGGATGATTTTTTGTTATTAATTCTTTACCTTGAAAGCAGATTTTACAACAGACAGCAGTTCTGATCAAAAGTCATCAAGCTATAGTCTGTAGTTCTTCAGACAACATGTGCAAACTATAAAAGATGATTAGGCTTCAAACTCCAATTTCTCTAATAAGTTGGAGTACATTATATTTAGCATCAAAGTGGGCTAAAATCACTGTGGAAAATATTAATGTGATTTTCTTCCTGTATTTTCCTCCTTGTTCTGTATGCAAAATCATTCTTCAAAAATTAGCATAATCCAAATAAGCTATTAGGTAAGAGCTCATTTACAGTAAGTAATTTTCCTAGACAGTATGAGAAGATGCCCAAGACCTCAGGAATGTGATGTGATGAGGCTGAAACTTAATGAACACAACTGAGAATTACACAGCCATAGCATCAACTAGTAGTTTTTATCTTTTTCAAATCCCTCACATCAGATGCCCCCTTTCCATTTCTTCTGGTTATCTCTTTGTTCGTTTGATGCACCCCAGCGTTCCTGGGATTTCACTTCTCCTGTGTAGCTGAGGATAAAGGGTCAGTGTTACTAAGCAACCCCATCCTTGTTCCAGGATCTTTTTAGGATGCCCCCTTGTCTCCTCTGCTTCTACTACCAGCAATTTGGGAACAGTTTCTTACTCTGCTTGCTAACTCTCGTCATCTGCTTTACCAGGTTCCAAAAAGAGCCAGTCTCACTGTAAACTGTGGGTCTTGAACAGTCTAGAAAAAGGCAAGGAACCGTGCTGGCCATGCTGGTTGCTCTTCTTTTTAAAAGGATTTTTGGTTCCAGCCTTGTAAACCAGTGCCATTAACCCTTGCAGTAGCCAAATGAGTAACTGGAGAGGTCCAGGTATGAGAGGCTTCATGACACAGATGCCTGAATATTACCCAGAATTAAAAGGAGTTTGGATTGAAAATACAATTACTCTTATCTGAAAATACCCATGTTTCTGGGTATCTTGTTCTTTATATGAATGTTGCCTGGATAGTAACAAAGAGGAAAAAAAAAAAAGGTTGTTGCATGCAAATGCTTCATTTCTTGAAAAAAAATTTTTGTAGTATTTCTGGAAGCATCTGCTGCCAGTATCATGGTTTCTTACCAAAGAATTATGATACAGTATTTTTTTTAACTTGAAAAACCAACAGTGACCCTGGTTTTAAAGAGATACTGTTTTGTACATGCAGTGATTGATTTTACTGATTTAATATTCATCTAAATAGAAAATCAAGGTTCTATATATCTACAGAACATGCATTCTATTACATCTTTGCAGAATTAAAGGTTTATGAACAATGAACTATCTAAATTCACCCTTGCAGTCCTATTTCACCTAGAGAATTAAATGACCTTTATTTTATGATGAAAACAGTCTACAAATGTCTTGTGGTGTTAGGAACTCTGACACCTGAGGAAAACAACTTATTTTAGGATTTTCTTTCCTGGTTTTCAGTTATGTAGCTTAATAGCCTTCCATTGCTTCATTTGTCAAGGAATAGATGTTTTTTGTTCATAATTTAACTTGATGTTAAATAGGTAAACGGGCAAACAATTTTATATGTATTTAGCTCATGCTGGTCTTGAATTTTTTATGATATGCTGCATTCATGTTAGAAATAATTGGGTAATTCTGTTTTACAGGTTTTACTCCTTTCTGCAGGAATTCCAGTAACTTGTTCATACATATCTCCTATTTGCAATATGAACTTCTATCCTAAGGACCTTTTTTTAGATCTAGGTCTTAATGATAACTGTGAAATTGTGACAGAGATACCGTAGTTTAGAAATTTAATGTTAGAATCAGTCAAGCCTCTTTTACATGCGAAGCTGAATATTGCTGAATACAGAGAGAATTCTAAATGCATTGATATTCTTTACCCTTGGCACACTGCTGAGCAACCACACCTTGGGGTTCCACAGTGTTTTTCACTGAGGGCTTTGGGATGAGAATCATACCATAGCTCTGCATGGAGTATAATAGCTATATAATCTTAGTACTTCCTTTTCCTTTCATTTTGGATTGCAGTCTGTAATATTTCTTTGCTTCATTATCAATAGTTCAAGTAGTTGCTGCCAAAGTGCCTTTTCCTTAGTGTAGGTAACCTTGAAAAAACAATTTTGACTTGTTCTTCTGCATTGATTAGAACTGTCAGCAGATCCTTTAGAGCTGATCTCCTGCAGGTGGTGTTTAGGTCTTTCCATTTCTGTTTTTCTAAATATTTCATTATATTAAAGGTAAAAGTTACTTAACTGTAAAAAGTTACATGGATCTTTGTGCAGCTGCTGAGAAAGATCATTTCCATAATTATGACAGTAACATCTGTTCCTTTTAGTGTCCAGAATTCAAAAGGCCCAGGGGCATTGCTGTTGACTGGGTGACTGGAAATATTTACTGGACTGATCACTCTCGGATGCATTGGTTCAGCTACTACACCACTCACTGGACCAGCCTGAGATACTCCATCAATGTGGGTCAACTGAACGGGCCCAACTGCACCAGGCTCCTCACGAGCATGGCAGGAGAACCATATGCAATTGCTGTAAATCCTAAAAGGGGGTACGTGTGTTGCAACATTACTCTGTTTCGGTGATTCAGACAAAAATTGCAAAGTAGAGTAAGAGAAAGTTATGATGCTCCAAATGTCTAATCTTTTCCAAGTCATTTACTTCATTTTCCTGCTCAGTTTACCTGTATATAAGCCAGGCTCAGTTACCTCCCATCTGTCAGGAAGGTTGAAAGGCTCATAATAATTTAGTATGGCTCAAAATAGTTTATAATTTAGTGAAGTGTTTTGAGGTTTTGTGTTGGCATCCAGCTTAATTTCTGCTTCATACTTTTAGGATGATGTACTGGACAGTTATTGGGGATCGCTCTCACATAGAGGAATCATCTATGGATGGTACTCTGAGAAGGATATTGGTTCAAAAGAACTTACAAAGACCTACAGGTATATGGCTTATCATTTTTTTCCTAAATACACTTGGTAACTCACAGATTTCAGTTTCTCAGTTTAAAATAACAACAAACAAACAAAAACAAAAAACCAAACCAAAAACAACAAACAAACACCACCCCTCCCCCTAAAATAAAACAAAAAGCCAAACCAAAAAAACCCAAAACTTTTTAAAATATGTGTTCTGGTTATTCATACACAGTTACTGTTCAGACTCTTAGTTCTGTTTTCAAATGATGCATCTTAAAAAGACTAACTTTTGTAACAAAGCTTAACATGGTTTAACAAGTCAGTACAAAGTACTGTATATAACCAGTTAAAATGTTAGTTCTTCAATAACACTGAACAAGCAAAAGCAATTAAGGGAACACCAGTTAGTGTTGAAACACATTTTTTTTAAGAATGCATTTGCAATCTCACAGCCTATTCTAGTTACTTTCCTGAATACACTTCAAAATAGTACAAAACAAGGTCTAGGTGCTCAAAGAAGCAACAAGTTAATTATTTCAGTATTTTATAGAAATATTGTGAAGTTTGACAATACTTGTTGAGATCTTGTGAATTGCATTAAAGACTCCATTGGCAGCATAAAAGTAATTTTTACAACAAAGGAAATCCTAAATCCAGAATGAAATGTGTCTCTTAAATAGCAAAATCCTGTCTTGAAACTACAGACGATTTTTTTCATAACCCATTTTCTCATGCAATATTTGTTGCTTCTCCAGGCTTACAATGATAATTTGTTGTTATTGCATTGCAAATTAGGGGTTGTCCAACCTTGGTAAGCATTTCTATTGAAACATGCTTCTTTCAAGGGGAGCCATCTGAATATCTAAGCACTTCAGGAGCTGCCACTATCACAGCAACAAATAATAATATTTTAACCTCTTGTTAAATCATGTGCTAGGGTGGGTTTATAGTGTTGTTCATGCAAATTATGCTCAGCCCTGAAAGGAAACACTCTGTTGACATGATTAGATTATAATATAGCCACTTAAAAAATTACCTATGTGATAAGGAAAGCTTTGTGGAGAAGGAAGCACAATGGTAATGGTAATACCATACATAGTAAAAAATAAATTCAATAAGAAGCTCCTGATTATTCAGACTGAAGTACAACAGAATTTTATATTTATCAAAGTTGTTACATTTCCTTTACTGAACTTTTACAAGACATTGTGAGCATATCAGATACACAGTTCATTAGATTTAGACCTAATTGCTGTAATTGTGCTTTTTTAATCTCTTGTTATCATGGTTAATCACCAAGGCAATGTCCTACAGAACAAGTCACCACTTCCTTGGTCAAAAGGGCACTTAACCCCTTTTTTTGGCCATCCCTTTTGGATTAGTGAACTTACTAAATTTTGTAGATAGTAACAATATCAAACTTACCTGAAAATGCAAGAAATTACTTATTCCCTAACCAGAAGCAGAACTACAAGAACTTCTCTTCTTAAATTTCCCATGGTATATTCTATATAGAAAAGATTCCTGCAAACATTTAACCAGACCTCTGTCTCCTTACCAAGGTGAATAAAATGAAAATTAAGAAAATCAGCAGAATTACAAAAATATGAGCAGTCTTTGCATAGAGGGAATTTCACGAATGGCCTGCCAGAGTATTGCATTTTCCTGTATTTACTGCCTGAAAACATTTCTGTGACATCCTTCTGTGCTTTTTTCTTCCTTTACTTCGTGGTGGAAAGTAGATTTTTATGGAGTCTTTTAATTTTTTGTTAGATATTTCACACAGATCCATGTCTTTGTAGAGGGAATGCAAAGAAAGGATCCAAACCTTTAATGTTTTCTCCGAAATAAGACTTTACTACTCATAAATTTACTGCTCATAAATTTATTACTGCATATGCCTTTCCTATTTCATGTAAAAGGAAGGGAGAGTTTGAGCATTTGGGCTCGACTTCATAGGATTTCCATCGAAATTACTTACACAGGAGTTCTATATGTATAAAACAAAAATAAACACTTTTTTTGCAGTATCTTATCTCCGACACTGTGAAAGATACATTGAGAATATTATTTATTTATTATTATAGTATTTGAATATTCTTATTAAAATACAGAGAATAATTTAAAACTGGAGAGTGGGGACTGCTCCTAAAACATTCTCCCTTACAGGTACCATGTATCACAAAGAACTGACACATTGTGATTGTCTTTTACCAGAAATTATTCTCTTTAGCTGTATCCCTGAAGACCAGTGTCTCTTTTACAGGAGCTTTTTTTTTTTAATGGAATTTCAAATGTAAACATATTTCACTAGTTTATGAGTCACTTTCTCCACTTCCTCTCATCTATCTCTCGCTGATTAATTTATGACCTTAAAAGGAGTATTTTTGCTGTTATGTATAATTTCTTTTGATGTATTTTTTCTGACTTAACAACGTATATAAATAGGAAGAAAAATACTTTTTCTCCTATTCTTATTAAAAATACACTACAACTTCAAAAGCTCAGAGTGAAATTATTTTACGGTTCAAATATGTTTTCCGGCTGAAGGTTTTGACGTGACCTAAAATGGGATATTAATCATTTAATCATCCCCTATGAAACACGGGCTACTTGATTTAACTATTTAGCTATTGCCTAAAGGCTGGGTAGTCACAATGTTATCTACCTTTTATTCTCATTTGTGCTCTCAGTCACTCACTCTTGTGCTTTCTTTTCATATATACACATTTGTCAATACTGCTGTGTAAGTCCTGCAGCACTAATGTAGTTAAAATAATCTGATTTTTAATTCTATAATAATTACTGCGTGTGAAGTACTGGTGATAAGAACAAGAACACAGTTATATACCTGTGGAAACTGGGTAAGTTAGGAAAATTCTGTGAATTTTTATTGCCTTGTTTTTGACATTCAGTGACACCGGTGCTGCCGCTTAGAAATCTGTTGGAATAACGGATTTCTGTTGGTGAAGCGAGTTAGAGGATTAGATTCCATGTTTAATTCCCACCTGGTATATATCCCTACGTGCTGAGGATAATGGGTTAGGAAAGGTACTGACCTTGGCACAGTAAGTTAAAGAAAGTAAAAAACCACAGTTGCCCCAAGAGGAAGATTTCAGTAGAAGGTGTTACATTTTATTGTCCTTGGTTTCCAGTGGAGTTTATTCCATTGTCACCATATTTTGTGTCCACAAAGATATGCATGATATAAAAATGTACCATTATATAAAAATAACATTTTCTTTTTAGGTTTTATATACCTATTTGAACTTTATCTTCTTTGTAGGCCTCGTAGTTGATCAGTTCAGTCAGCGCCTGTTCTGGGCTGATTTTGAATTATCTGTTATTGGGAGTGTCCTTTTTGATGGTTCTGACTCAGTTGTGTCTGTGAGTACTAAACAAGGTATGGAGAGCTTTTCTATAACCTGATTCCTATTTTCTTTTGTTTGGCTGAAGTTTCACTATTCAGAGAAAGTGTGTAAACAAAAAGCAGTTATTTTTAAGTAATATTTATTGGTTTTATTAGACAATACTTCAGGTATTATCTGAAAGAAAATAGGTGTTTAAATTAAGATAATTTTAGTTTTAAGATAATCTAATAAAATTACTTTCAGGGAACAATGATTCAATGATATATGCCAAACTCCAAGTTTTTAATCTAATCATTATCTTAGGTATTATGGAATAACATTGTGGTTGATATTTAGGCTTGGATTTATGTAGCAACAGGAGAACCTTGACTAAAAAATTAGAGCTGTCTGCATTGAACAGGAGCTGTGGAGTTTGTAGAACAGTTGATCTGAATCAGTTCTGGGAGAAATAATGGGCTTGGCTTTCAGGTCAGCAAGTAATCACAGAATTCTCCTAACTGAATGTGAATGAGGAAAGTTCCCTTGGTAAGAAAAGAGATTCTGTTTAAGCAAACTTTGTTTTTTATAGAACTGCATGTTGGTTTTTTAACAATTTGTTAAGCGACAATTTATGAGTAGAAAAGAGAGAGAACACATTTTAAAAAAGAATATTTGATAGCAGGGTTTTGGGGAGAATTTCTTAGTGGGCAGCTGGTGCTGGGGTTTCATCAGGGTGATGTTATATCTAGTGCTCTGGAATTTTTTCACTAATTGTCCAGAATTCACCAGGGTGTTCTGGAATATACTGGGAGAATACTCCCACAATCCAGATTGGGCAGGACCAGATTTAAATTCATCCTGTTTTTGTTTCAAAGCATATTCTTCCATAACTTGAAGGTAGTCATCTGAATAAAGATTCTTTGAGTGTAGGAATCTGACAACAGCCTCCTCTAACATCGAACCAAAGGAAATTTGAAGGAGTTTAGAAATTGCCTTGCCATGAGACTAAAAACTTCAACCAATTTAATTAAATAAACATAAAATAATGAATTGGAATTTAGAGATATTTTTATTGAAATAAAATACTGAGTACAAATTACTGATAGCATGAAAGAACAGTAGGAAGAAATAAAGGCTGATAGTTGAAATTAAATAAATACAACTGAAATACAAAACCAGTTTTAGTGTAAATAGAGATAATAGCAGGGACAAAGTATCACAAGGAATGATAGATTCTGTTTCTTTATGGCTCCTAGAAGAGATGGATCTCTGGCAAAGAAGTTTTAATCAGAAGCCATTGCCTTGTTACCTGGGTAAATGTGTGAAATTCCACAGCCAGCTGTGCATAGGAAATAAAACCATGTGGTCTAATAGGCCCTCATAGCTCTTAAAAATGAGGAATTAGTAGAGTTAACTCTTTATTTTGCATTAATTTGCTATAATTATGAATTAAAATACATGTAGTAGAAAAACTAGCATTTCAAATATGTGAAGAAGGAGCTGAAGTAGTTTCTTTGATTTAAAGCAAAATTATCTGTTTCTTCCTTGTCACATACTTCTAGTTAAAGTGTTGTACCTGAGTATGTTCTAATTAACAAGCTGCTACTATAGAGTTTCCCCACTTTTCAATAATCACCCAGTTTCTGAGGCTGAATTGTGTGGAAAACTAATAGAAGGCTTGAGATTTTAGTTGCTTGCAGTGTGGAAGAGTTCTTTTTAAGCAGATTGGCTTTTTCTAGACAGCCTTTGTGGGTGCAAAACCAGCTGTCTGAATAACAGTAATGTCTTTAGGTGGTAATAGTAGAAATGCAATTGAAGTTATTTTGAAGACAAAGTTATTGATTATTTGAGTATGAATTTTTATTTATTATCCGTTTTTATCCAAGGTTTGCTGCATCCACATAGAATCGACATTTTTGAGGATTACATATATGGAGCAGGTCCTAAAAATGGTGCATTTAGAGTACACAAATTTGGCAGGAGCCTTGTGGAATATCTAAGTGTGGATGTTGATAAAGCAAAAAGTGCCTTGATTTTTCACCGCTACAAACAGATGGACTGTGAGTAAGCATAATTACTGTAAACTCAATATTGAGCACATTCACCTGGGGGGAGAGAGGGTGGGGGAAGTAACCAAGTTGTATAAATATAAACCAGAAGCCGATTGCACAAACTGAAAATAGATTTGGTTATATATATATTTATATAAGTTTGATTTAGATCGTTTGATGCATTTTCACTCATTTGAAAGGACATTGGGCAAATGTGTACACAAATGCCTTTTGTACCTGCAATCTAAATGAGATATAAAAGAATTAGAAGAGGGGTGAATACAAATAGCTCTAGCTAAAAGCAGATGAAATTTTTTGCTCCATATTACCAATACATTTTTTGTTACTGGAGTAAATTCTGTCCTTCTGTGAGTCTTGAACTTTAAACTGTTGACATCCTGGAAACTGGAAGTTTATCAGAATTTTTATATCTGATTATTTATCTTGTTCCAGCTTTAGAACAAAGTTGTAAATTCTAAAAATAAATAAATAAATAAAATCAATATCTTTATTATTTTGTCTTTTTAAACAGTGCCTAATCCGTGCTTGGACCTGACTTGTGAATTCATTTGTTTACTCAACCCTTCTGGTGCAACATGTGCTTGTCCAGAAGGAAAATCATTGATGAATGGAACATGCGTTGATCAAAGCCTCTTAGGTAGGTATTGAAAACTGCATGAGAACTAGAAAATAAACAGCTGGTCACTTTTTGTCACTGCAAAAGGCTGAGTTGTCTGAGAGTCCAGCTTTGTAACATTGTTCAATATACGTGTTACTGAGCTGAAATGGAAAGAAAATATGGAGAAGCAAAATCCCAGATTCAAAAAAACCACCCCTGCTAATATTCATCAAAATAAAAATTGAGCTTTCAGCTGAAGATGATATTTAAAAGTGAGTGTATATACATATTGACCAAAAGAAGCTTGAAAGGCTCTGAAGTGTTTTGGATCCCAAATTAAACGTTAGCCATTTAGGAGCAGAAAAATAACCTTAAAGACCGTCAAGAAACACCTCTGCTTACACTGCAGCAACAGTCAAAGGGCAGTGAGAGCAACATAGCACATAAATGGCTGTGAAGTAACAGACAAAGAAAGAAAAAAACAACTGAAATATTTTTATCTAAAATTGTATCTTTTGGTAGCATCTATAATGACTAATATCAAGTCACAGGAAACCAGTCTTCATGGGAAAGGAGCTTCTAAGTTCTTGCTGTGGGGAAAATATTCTTTTTTATAGTAGAGTATTAAGTACTTTAAAACTGTTTTCACCCTAATTTAGGCTGAACCTAAGGTGGTCAGACTGCTGGAATGAATTCTTAGCCAACTTGAACTTTAAAATGTTCTAGAAGTCACAGGATAGTATTTCTTATGCGTATCATACATATTAGGATGTTTTTCTGATGTCTAATTTCAGGCTCAGAAGTGTAAGTGGTAGATATTTGGGCGAGATCCTCAGTACTTAAAGTGCTTAATTTAGCAATTAAATTAATTTACTTGAAATGTCATAATGGTGTGGAGAAAATCTCACCGATCTATACTGCCTGCTCTTCAAAAATTGACTTAACAGAACTGTGTTTTAGTAGTTTATGATGCGGTGTTAGTAAAGCTCCCAACTCTAAACACCCTCCCTGTCTCTCCAAGTGTCTCATCAAGATTTTATGCTGATACAGCACCACCAAAAAAATTATTTCAGATTACCCATAGTTACTATTCAAGTGTTGAAGAATGGGCAAATAAAAGAATATTGTTTTTCACTGCTAAATTGCAGTAATTTGAGCCCATAATTTCAGCAGTGCTACAGTTTTACTAATGAGGCAAAGGATTAAGCCATGGTAATGCTTTCAGGAAGGTGTGTTTTTATTTGAGAACGAAGTGAAGAGGCTTTTAAATTACTTCACTGCTGTTTATAAATTTTTATGGATAGGCAGAAAATGCCTAGAGAAGGATTTTTAATATATTGATAATTTTCAGTACCTTTCCACAGCTGCAATATCTGTTATGACTTTTTAAAGGGCTGCTGAATAAGTGTTTCTTAGGTTTTTTTGTTTACAATTATATTTCAGATAATGTCTACCATAGGCTTTTTTGTACATTTTTTTCCAGCATGTTATTTTTGTAATATAGATTGCAGGTTTTGTAGCCTCACAGATTATAAATTATGAATTGAAAAAACCTCTGTATCATAGCAATCAAACAAGTGTATGTTTTTGCACTATGTAAATTTTTTTTGAAAGTATTCAGTGGATGTTAAACAGCTGTATGTTAAACATGCTGACACTCCACTTAGGCTTCCAAGGGTCAGCAGAGATTCCTGGAACGATCAGAGCTGACCTCAAGATCAGCATCTTGAATTAATGCAGGTTTATAATTAAAGGCTGATTTACAGTCCAGTTGCCATTAATAGGTCGCTAATAGCCTGCAAACAAAAGACAAGTCAATTTATAAACCAGGTTCTTTTACTTTAGGTACTTATACAGTATGGAATAAAAAATTATGATCTATAGTATTTTGTTCGTTTTCTGATGGAGATCTAGAAAACATATATGAAATATTCCACAAACGTTTGCCTTATTTAAATCTACCATTATATTGTATTTGTTGTCTCAGAGCATTTTTGGCACAGTTATGGATGTCAGTAACTCAAACCAGAAATTCCTGCTTTACTTGGCTGTATATTGCAGAAGAGTGACCTAGAAATCCAAAGGGAGGTCATGTAGTCATATTTGTTTGTTGGTCTGCATTATAATCCTGATTGCAAGTCAGTCAGAATATTTCTGTTGATTTTGGTGGTCTTCTGGTTTGTCCCTAAGAGAACAAAATCCCAAAGGATTTTAATTTGAGATGTATCTGTAAAACACTTTTTCGCTGATATATTCTTTTGGTTTTGCTACTAGTTTGATCACATTGCAATAGATGTGTAGTAGATAGGTTACAGTGATTTATATACATTATGTCTTATGTGTTCAGCAATAAACTACCACTCATTTACAGATCTGAAAACTCGGTTTTTTGATTTCCTGTAGTGGATGTCATTCATACAGCAATAGAAGGGAAAGGTTCTGATTGTTTTGTACTTGCATAGTGGCTGGTTCATGTTATCTAAGAAGTTTCTTACTTTCAAAAATTAGTACTAGTTGTGGATGTCAAGAACTAATGTGACTAAATTGTACTTTCTGAATAATACATAATTGACAGTGTCAAAATAACACAGCCATCTCTGCTTCCCATCCATCTTGGATAGTGTCCCCAGGAGAACTTGTGGCTGAAGATTCTGTTTTGACAATACATATTTCACTATCCTTGTGGAAAATGCCTTCCAGCAAATAATGATCATTGTCAACATTTGTATGTCATTCGTCTTTTTGGTAGGTTTTAGCATTATTATTGTACACATGCATTTGTACAATTTCTTCTCAGTCTGCCCACTGTAAAGGTTGGTGACTGCAAGGTAATCTCAGTCTTGATCTGTTTCTTACGGCTATATCCCAAAAACCAGGTTGTTGTTTGTTTCTTTGTTTGTTTGTTTGTTTTTTAATAGAAGAAAATTAGCTGTCCTAAAATTCTGCATGATATTACTACTAGCTTGACCCATTAAGCTCATTTTACTTCATAAGGCCTATGTGAGGAATACTAAATATTGAATACCCAGTGGCTTTCTTTAAGACTGAATCCAGATTGCCTCAGACAACTGTTTCACCAGCGTCTCATGCAACCCATGAGAAACAGCTTTTGGGTTTGATTTGGGGTTTTCAAGTTGGCGTTGCATCATTCAGAATGTTTTAGTAACAAAATCAAAACAAGTTCCTGTGTGTTCTTAGCTAAGCTTCTATCGCATTTCTCCCTAGATGATAATGACTGACAGAGTACAGTGTTTTTGGAGGGTTATTGACTATAGCAGGCCTGACTTTCAGTTTAGAACTGAAAAATACCCTTTAGTTTTCCAGTGGGCAGAATACAACTTCATTTTCCTAAAAGAGGCCTCTGGATTAGCATCCATTAGGTTTTTTGTATCTAATTGTCTGTAGCACAACAAAGCTAAAAATGTACCAAGAGGATGAGAACAGAGAGACTTGCACTGGAGGAAGACAGTGTGTAGTACAGCTGAGTGAGCAAGAGTAATGAGCACTTCCAAGAGTTCCCTGATCTGGAGCTTCACGTTTATCCCTTTCCTGTTAAGAGGGAATATTTCTGCTCTCTTCGCTGAATGAAAAGCCTGAGGAAAAATTACAGAAACTCATATCTGGTGTTGCTTCTGAACAGGGATGAAACATTTAATTCACCACGTTGTTTCCTTCTGCATGCTTCTGTGGGGACTTGCCCACTGCACATGTGGATTTCAGAGATTAATCCCTATGGACCTTCTTTTTCACCCAATGTCTGCCTCAGGGAGCAAAAGCTATGGCAGTTCAATCCATGCTATCTTTTTGGGGTTTGTCCTGCTTTCAGCCTTCCTAGGTATCAAATAGAACCAGGGTCACACAGAAATCTGCTCCTGATTTGGAAAAAAACCACCTCTTTACAGCGTATCTCCTGTGTTTACAAAGGGGTTAGTGTTGGGATTGGTGTTTCCCAGAACAGAAGAAAATGGGCATCAGTTATTTTTTTCTTACTCTGCATCTTTTTCTTAGACCTTCTCTTCCTTCTAAAATTGTAAAGCAAATATTTTTAAAAGGAAAAAAAAATGTGAAGGGAAAACAGAGTAGCATCTCTCTTACAGCATTCAGACAAAGTTTGGGGATAACAGTGTTCTGGTACATTTAAACATATGGAAAACTGGCAGGTAGTATGACTTTCTGTAAGGACATGAATATTTATAAAACCTTACCATAATATTGGAACTCTGCACTCTGTCTTTAGTAGGTACATTCATTTCTATAAAGGATGAGCTACACCTTTGTCCAAAGGGTAGGCAAGACCAAATTTTCTGCCCCATGAGATGAGTATTTTCCTTTGTAGGGAGGGAAACTGTTCTTGTCCCAAAGCATGTAGGTCATGAACATTGTGCTCTGTAGCATCATCTCTCCATTGAACTTGTCTAATCCAGAAATTGGTGGATATTTCAAAAGGGAGAAAATAGCAAAAAGTAAGATGCATTTTTCTCAGAAAAGAGAGGGTTGTTATAGAAATGTCAAAAAAAATGTGTGTCTATATATTTGGGGGAGAGGGATGGAATATCAAAAAATTGAATGAGTGAAAATACCAGTAGAGTTCACAAGGCTTTGATTTGCTATTGTATCAGTATTTCTTCTGTGTAAGATTTTCCTTTTACTTTCAGGAAAAGAAAAGAGTCAGAGATGGAGCAGATAAGCTGAAGTCCATTAAAAAACATAAGAAAACTTGCAAATTAAAATTATTTGATTCTTTATTAGCAGTATATTAAGATTGAAATGGGCAAATCAAGGTGACAGGAGACTAAATAACTGGATTAGGAGAGAATATATAAAATTAGATGACCCGTAATCCTTTCCTTTCTTTCATGTTAGAGGTGCAGTAACTAAACTAGGGGTTGTGTAACAAGTGAAATGATTTACTTCTGACAGTTCAGAAGTGAAAAGAGCAGCTGGGAGGTCTTTGAGTCCAAGTTCCAGCAAGCACAGAGCAGCACAGAATTGACTCCAGACAGAAACTTTTCTGATTTTAACTTTTTTTTTTTCCTTAAATCTTGTTCCAAGAGAGTGTACATGCTAGAGCTGTTCTTTGCTCATCTTTCAGAGGTCTTTATTCAGTAATTCAAAATAACCGTATTCAGCTTTATAGACCAATTCTTCCGTTTCTCTCCTGTATTCTTTTTCTTTCCGTCTTCTCCTGTGGGACCATTCTGCTCTTGTCTCCCACAAAAAAGCATCTGATCTCCTTTTGTATTCAGTTGATGTGAATCTGCAAGCGTAATTTGTTTCTTGTATTTACTTTCAGACAACAAAGCAGCAGCATTAAAACCCCTATATTGTTAAAGTCTAATGTAGTATTTTACAACTGGCTTATCCATTGCATCTTTCAGTCCTATTTCTTGGTTTATTTAAAGTCCAAAATTGTTGAAGTAACTTTTCTCTGTTTCATATTAGATATGTATTGGAACTCTTGAATTTAAAATGTTTCATAGAGAACAAAATCAGTAGTAATTGTAATTTTTTTTTTTCAGATTTTATGTCTCAATTCTGTGGAATTGCTCTAGAAGAGCATGTTTCTAATGCACTATCAGAAAGGTTCATAAAAATGAGCAGTTGTCTGTACTTCACTGTTATTTATTCTGTTTTTACCAAGTTCTGCTCCATAAACTCATGACTAATGATAAGTAAAACAGATAAGATAAGCAAAACAAAAATAGACCTTCTCTCCGATAAGATATGCTACATTATCCATTCAAACAACTTGTATAATGAGTAACCAAAGAACGGTTCATGGAACATCAAAGGATTTAATGAACCACCCAAATAAATAAAACACTGAAGCATCCTCAAACTCCCAAATACAAAGTAGCTTTGTTACAGCAGGTGTATCCAGGGTGGATACCAAAAAATTAAGTGCAAACAGAATTTCATACTTTTATTGTAAATGCATACCATGAAGTAATGATATGCCAGGCAGTCCACCACAGTAACTTTTAGATTTGCTATCTAGTTTCAGTTTAGTTTGAGAAAGGTACAATTACCTGAAAGATGAGACTTTCCAGAAGTTCTGTTTAAATAGATTTGATCCCAGGATACATATCTGCACCATCTCAGCACTGGTTGTGAAAGGAGGCAGCAGACCCTGCAGAGGAGGGGTGTACACAGGCAGGAAAGAGAGTTGGGTGCATTCAAAGAAAGGGCTCTGCATAAGCACAGGTATATTACTGGGCTCTGCAGAATCTGTGCTGGAGAGAACTGTTCAGGTAGAGGATGTGTGACATTCCTAAATTCTGCACTTTTGCAACCCAATGTGTTTGGAACATCAAAGGAGTTGCTGTGCCTGTGTCACCTCAGTCAGTGTTAAACCTCAACAGGTATGGAACAAATGGGAACCTTGACTCATCAGTTGTTTGACTAAACCAGATGAACTCAGCAAAAACCAGCAGCTGGTGGATCTGTTACTGGAGAGTTTTCAGTGCTTGTGATATCCCTCTTGTTTAAAGCCATGCAGGCTAAAATACTGGATTAGTTAGGAAGTAGTCTGGCTGCTGTTTGAGAAATGACAGGTTTCATTGCTGCAAACATGTTTTGGGTTGGAAAGGTGCTTGTCTCTTTCTTTGGAATTACAGGTATTTGGATGTTTGAGCATTATATGCTAGTCTATAATTAATTTCTTGTTGGTATCATTGAATAATTTTATATCCTGTTCACTGAAGTGAATACAGGTTTACTTTTCAACATGTTTCCAAGAGAGGCACAACTCTAATTACAAAACAGCTTTATAGGAAGATTGAATCTGGCCTAATCAGAATTTGTGTCACCTCTAAGATGTGCCATCAGCAGTCAGTGAATGCAGAGCAGCAGGCAGTACCACTTCTCAGGGATTTTACAGTCTGAGCAGACGAGAAAAAGAATTTATCAGGAAATGTGATTTAGGAGCAACAAGTTCATACGCAAACATCAATTTTTGAGGATGATTTAAAAGCTGAGTAATTTCCTTTTTAAATATTTTGGATAAAGCTTAGTTAAGAAGGCTGTTACTTAATAGAGAGAGTGGAAGAGAGATCCAGAAACAACTAATAGAAAAAGGCTGAGGTCACCAGAAAATGACTGGGAAGTTTCCTGAGGTCTCCCAGATGAAACCATCATTCAATTTTCTAGTTCATAAACTAACTAGGAATTATAGTTTCAAAAAAGAATTCCTACTATCATTAGTAACTTAGATCCTAGAGTGGTCAACTTCCCTGTGACGACATTTGGGTGTGCCATGCACAGGCCCCCAACTCAGTAAGGATGCAAGCTCCCACCACCTCTGCAGCTCCTGACAGCCTTTCTGGAACTTAAGATCTCCTAAGTGTGTTGGTTTTTTTCCGGCACTGTGGAAACAGAACTGATAGTTTACTTTCTCAATTTTGTAAAGTGATATTTCCCCCTCCCCCCCACTGACAGAGACCTCTAGCTCTGTTTGAGAGACAGGGTTCTGTTTTGCCAGTTCCATGAAATGGGGTTGTGGAACCACTCTGTGTGTGCTCTTGCTGCAGATGGCACCTGTAAATTAACCTGTGAGAATGGAGGAAAGTGCATTATAAACGAGAAGGGGGATCCCCGATGTCACTGCTGGCCAAGTTACTCTGGTGAAAGGTGTGAAACAAACCATTGCTACAACTACTGCCAGAATGGAGGAACCTGTGGAGCCTCTCTCCTTGGTAAATATTTCTGAACAGCTCTATGTTACTATTATACCTGCCTTAAATGCTTGGATTTATTCCCTTCTTGTGATATTTTTCTCTTTGTAACTTATTTGCTTTGTTTGTACTTTAATGGTGTGCAAAACATCAGAACATGTCATACATATTTATACTTTATAATCAATAGTGCTTTTCAGTGAATTAAACTGAATCCCAGAAAAGGGAGCGTATAAATATAAATTGTGTTCAATGTAAAGACTCAGGTGTTGAGGTGGACAAATGGCATTGTAAAGCATAAGGTCCAGTCAAAGTACACCTGGAACAAGCCCGTACAACTTGTTCTCTCTTTGTCTCAGTTCTCCCTCTAAATTTTTATGTGCATACACAGAATTTGCTTAAATTTGGTGACCTCAGTGTCTTGCCTTTGTCTTCCTGGAGATCACCAAACAGGAATTTTAGTCATCTAATTCTCAGGAAGACTTGGTTGATAAGAACTCAGATCCTTCATTTTCCTGCAGGAATTTGAAATTATCTCTCTTATCTTCAGGGATATAATCCTGTTAAAAAGTGGTGATTTGACAGTTGATCTCTGTCCCTAACACACAAGCTTTTGTAACTTGCAATTAGTGTTTGGGCTAGAGAGGGAAAGTGTGATAAAAAGTACTCCTAGCAATTCTGTGAGAAGGGAGAAGTCGAATTCTATTTTCTACTTCAAGGAATAATTAAATATTTGATTCAAAGTAGAACAGCTGGAGAAGAGTTTGCTGTCTAGTCCCTTCTTCTCCTCAGAAGCTATTAGCTGCTGAAGATGTGAATCATTTTCTCCTGTGATGAAGAGACCCACACCCTGATCTCTGAAAGAAAAGTACAAGCACCTGATCCTGAGAAGTTCGTGACTGTTCAGCACAGAGAGGGCTCTCTGAAATGCAAAATTATGTATCTGAGTCTCTGTGGCAGAGACTTAGATCATAATGTTTTCCTCAACACTTCTTACTTATTAACTCTAACATATGTAGTTTAGTAATTTAGCCTCACTTCATGGCTTCTGTGGAGCCTCCTCTTATTGACTGAGGTGTGGTGGCAAAATTCCAGGTGAATGCAAATCTAGTAATCTTTTCTTTCAGTTCTGAGTAGTTGAGGGTTAATAATGTCATTCATAGTTATATCCATAATAATGACTAAATATTAGAAAATGAGAATTACTTGTGCTGGAAGTTGATTAATTATACTTTAAACTGCTTCTAACAGCTGATGGAACTGACACAAATGATAAGTGGTGATTTTTATCAATGTAGTGAGATCAATACATGCTAAGTGAGGACACACAGGTGAATGGAAGTAAGTTGTGGGTGATTTAAATGACATGCAGAACTTCCTCCTCGTGTGAAGAGAGGATGTTTATTCCCACATCTTTACATATCTGCCATTTAATTGATTCTTTTGTGGGGTTAAAAGGCTTAATAAAATTAATAACTTGGCTCCTAGAACTCAGCTCCATTTTGAGTCCTGCAGAGCTCCCAGGGCTTTATTTAATCCTTTTCTTTTGGCAGTAACTATAGGGCTTGCTCACCTCCAGCAGTTTGTTTTCCCTTTCCCAGGCAGCAACATTTGCTGTGCTCACACAGCTATGCTATTGCATGGGTATTTTTAATTTATATTTTCCTGCTAAATCCAGCTTCTGAAATCTCCCAGCCTTGCTGAAATAATTATTGCAGTAGGTTTTGTCACCAGTGGGTAAAGGTGGAATATGAGCAGGTTCCACAATATACTTCTGCTAAATTTTTCACCATGGCCCAGCTGCTGCAGCAGGCCTGGGGATGCAGCATCAGCCTGGTGCTTTGTGTCCCAAATGGAATGCTGTGCCTGCAATAAAATGCATCAGGAGAGCCAGCATGGACATCACCACAGTCCACATTTCATTGTTCAATTGCCTGATTTGGGGGAATCTGAACCTCTAACAGCAGCTAATGTTTATTGAACCACACATGACCAAAGAGTGCCTTTATGAGCTGAGACCAACACAGAGCTGGTTCTAATGACTCTGGGCATGCCTGCTGATAGGAGTGTTCTTCTGCAGTGCTCTGTCCCCTTAACAGTTTCATCAAATTTTTAAGAATCATATTTCAAGTTGACCAGATGTCTTATCTGCCATTTTCAATTCATGAGGGTAGCCATGCCTTGAAGCCCACACCATAACTTTCCCGTGCTGGAAATGTGGAAAAGAGACCATATATCTTTCCAAATGACACTGCCACCATCTAGTATTCCTGATAATTTCCAAGAAATTTTCAAGTTGCTCTGCATCTCATCTTCCTTGCATGCCTAGCCCCTGGACGCTGTAAATATTCTATTAAGAAGAAATCTCTATTTCTTATCAGACTGTATTTCTTATCTACATCAGGCCATAAATCATGTGTTACGGAAACAAACTAGCATGCCAGGGAGATGTCCCTTTATCCTCGTTTAATCTAATCCATGATATACTAAGGCCATTGTGTATCTTACAGAGGGAAGCTAAACTGGACTCCCCAAAAGCATTAGAAACTGTAATTAAGTCAACAAAGCTTAATTCCTCAAGTGTTTTTGCAAGAACCATTTCCTCTTTCCAGTCAAATACACACTTCAGTCCTTCAGTCCTTGTGTTCAGTGAGCACACATGTAGCTGCACAAGACATTTGCAGTTGGACTGAGGGTATGAAATCCAGACCAGAACAATGTTTCTTCTCCTTGTCTCAGCCTTCAAGGCAGAGTTGATCTGCTGTGTCAAGTTCATATGAGAGTAACTGGTCTATATATGTTGCTTTATTCTTGCACACAGAGCTTCAGCATCTTCACTCATCATGAACTCTCAGGATTGGAGCTCTACAGACACAGAGTTAAAACTCCCTCTCAATTCTTATCCTCACCACCACAGAAATGTTCACGACTCCTTAATGGTTTTGAGCTTCAGCATTTTATTGTATCTAGATTCGAAATATTTTGTTGTACCAGGCTGACCTGTCATCTAGCAAAGGAATAATAGAATCATTAAGTTTGCAAAAGACCTCTAAGATCACGTCCAACCCTTAACCCAGCAGTGCCAGGTCCACAACAAAACCATGTCCCCAGGCGACACATCTACACGTCTTTTAAATCCCCATGTTCCAATAGCTACATTGCAAACTGGTTTTGTTAAAGAATTCCCTCACATTTCTGTGAAGTATAAAATTACTATTTTAAAATAAAGTTAGCTCAATATCATTTTACCTTGTTCTGCTGTGCTATTGCTGCCTGTGCATTCTTCCTCCTGTACAATGGTGCTCACAAACAGTTCCTCAAAAAGTAGCACTTATACTTCTGATCCATTGTACAACTGACTCATCAAACTGACCTGCTAAAATCAAGTTTCATATATTTTCCTAATTTTATATTTTTTATGCCTGTTTTTTTGTTCAAAACTGTAAAGACTTTTCCTCTGAAAGTTGCAGAAGCCATAGGTGTGTGAGTGCCAATCCAAACTCATCTGCAAAATATAAATGACTAGTGATTATTTCTTGATTGCCCTTGTCAATTTTTGCATATTATACAACTCAGGCAGCTTTGAATAGATCTCACAAGTGTCATTTTACACACATTCCCTTTGGAAAGCTTAGGGACTGCCAGTCATTTCAGCTTCATGAAGAGGTGCTTCTGCAGGGTCCCCACAGCTGGAGGCTTCCTTGGGAGTCAGGGAATTTCCTTTGGATTCTGGCTCAAAAACTGAGGAAGGAAGAAAGAACCTGAGAACAAACTTTGCATCATATTCTGATGCAAATAAATTAGTGCAGCATATAAAATACTCTTCTGGTGAATGTGTGTGTTCTAGTGAATGTGTAAATCCCCTTCTCTTTCACCACCTAATACAGAATAGTAATGTGATAACTAATTAAGTAAATTGCAGAGTATTGCTAATTTTTTAAAACATGATTGTGCTAAATCTTTGCTGGATGTGTTAAGTTGTAGAACCTCATTATCTACACACAAATGTTAATTTGTTAAACAAATCCCACTGGCAATTCAGGGATTATTCACTGTTGGCTTACTTACTGCTAAGCCTTTTGGCAAATTCCTGGATGTTGAGGCTCTGCTCTGGCACAGGGTCTCAACAGAACCACCACCAACAACCTTGGTGAAAACAGCCTTTGAGAGTACTCTTAATATATTTAGAAATTGGTTTTTTCTCCCTTTTTTTTTCCCACAACACAGAGAGACTGTATATCTGTTGGGATAGATCCCAATCAGCTCACCTACTAATTACATTTAATAATACAGCTTCTCTCCGCTACTATTGTCTCAGTAAAGTTAATTATGGTTCATCAGCCACACAAAAATGAATTATTCTGATTCCCACAGACTTCTGATAAGGACTCCAAAAGACAAGATATTGCTTACAGAAAGCTCATGTAGTGCCACCTTGTTTTCTTTAACAGTGACAGCAAGTTAAACATTGAAACTAAATGTGCATATTCACCTAAAACACACATTGCATGTAGTGAATTTACCATTGAATGGAAGAAATAAATAATGTAAATTTTGATACAGACATTAGTCTGAATTATCTAATTTTTCAAAAGTTGTAGAAAGCTACAAAGATAGTGCTATTGACCTAGTTTTTAATTATTTTTTAATTGCAAAGCACCTTTATGTGATTAGACAAAATACATAATCTTTATATGTTGTTTAGACAATAGCACAAATGAAAGTTGATCTCCCTAGAATTATAATCCTTGCAAAATAAATGTAAATATGGCTTTAAGATATCTGAGTGGATTCCCAAAAGAAATCACCCAGATACTACAGGAACAGTGAACAAAGGTATTTATTGGCAATTTTTGAAGATTATTTAAGAAGTTATTATGTAGGCAATTATTATTATATAGCAAACTAAACTGACAAACCAGGAGTAACTACAGCATCTGTAATCAAAGCCTAATTGAACATTGTGTGATGTAGATCCCTAATATTTTTTTTAAGTACTTTTATTTTTGTAAGAAAGGAGGAAACTAGGTTTCATTTTCATGTCAAAAATTTCACATATCATTTCATGCCCTACTGCCAAAAATAAATTCATGTCTTAGGGTCACCATAACATATTCTCCTTTAATTTACTAAATTCTCTTCTGAATTTAAAGCAGTTTAGCATTCCATAAAACACTTCCCATATTATTATTTTTCTATATTCTAATGAGTCGCGCACATTTCTGTGGTGGTGAGGATAAGAACTGAGAGGGAGTTTTAACTCTGTGTCTGTAGAGCTCCAATCCTGAGAGTTCATGACGAGTGAAGATGCTGAAGCTCTGTGTGCATGAGCTCATCTTGGAATTCTGTTGCTAGGGGGGAATATGTGACATCTTGGTTAACATGAGTGTTTCCTTGCAAACATAAATGCTTCTGTGATACAAAACCTGATGGCATTGTTTGTCATTGTTCAATAGTGCAGTTTTGTTAAACTCTTCGAGGAACCATTTTGTATCAGAAATAATTTATGAGAATAAGGCAGATGAAAATGTCAGTATTAGTATTATTTTTGATGTCAACAGTCTGTGTATAAATAGGCAATGAACTATTAACATTACTGAAAGTCATGTTAAATTGAGTGACAAAAAGGGGGTTTAGGCTATACTGTATTAAATTTTCATATAACTGTCAGTAGTTTGGCATATTTATAAGCCTACATTAGCAAAGAATAGAATAATCTTTTTCCACAACCTAGAAAAATAGCATTGTCCCATCATTTTAACAAATAGAGGAGTATTAATAATAAAACCTGATTTCAGACCTGCAGATCTATGTTCTATTACTATTTTATCTTTTTTATTGAAACAATGATTCAGATGAAGGATTATGTGAAATGCCCTGGTTTGGGGGCAGAAATTTAAATACAAGTGTGTACAGGGGAAAAAACAAGAAGAATCTGTGCTAACATCTGAGTTCAACATCTTTGATTTAATGTTTAGATCACAGGGGACAGATATGAATAACCGGGCTGATGCATATTAAACTAGTTGGAGCTATTTTTAGGTCAATGGTTTTGTTCCTGCTGTACTCATTAGAGGAAGAGAGTAACTAATCTCATGGCCTTTAAGATGATTTGCAAAACACTTTAAATTAGCATAACTTAAAATAGAAAATGTAGAAAAGAATTACATGAAGTGTGTCACGTAAGAAGGGTAAGAAGTAAGTGAAGGAAAAGGAATAAATAAATTATTCTGCATGAATCAGAGAGAGTAGACAAAATGAGGGTGCTTCACTTACGTTGAAAAATTCTCTAATGACTATGATATTAAATGATTGCATAGTATTAAAAAAAAAAGGCAGACCAGAAGAAAGTTTGAATTGTGGGGTTTGTGGAATATTCAGTTTAATCTTAATTACTTCAACAACCCAGACAACTAAATGGAGAAGAAAGAACAACAATCTGATTGTTGCAGGGTTGCACATTTCAGAGTTTTGGACGCAGCTGTGGTGAACGGCCTCAGGAGGCAAATGGGAAAGTATTTGTGGATACCTACAGCAAACATCATGTTAAGCCAAGGAAATGATTAATGAGACAAAAAAGAAGCAACCTATTCATAATGAAGCATTTTTTTAAATCAGGTAGCAGTAAGGAATTACTATTAGATCAGCAAGAAAATCAGAAAGAATTCTTATGGGAAAGTAATCCTTAATGTTATTTCATTTGACTACTTCGGATTTTGGCTCCTCTATGCTTTTTAAACCAAGTCAGGTCCAAACCAAGCAGAGCTTCTCTCGTGTGCTCACCAACCCCTCCATGAAGTAGGATTGTGTATATGTAAGAAGCTCATTCCTGCCTTATGGCTTGCATGAAGTTTTTCAAATGTAAATCCAAGGATAGCTGGAGTCTCTCATACATAGCACATTCCCTGACTTTCTCTGATCTCTTTTAGATTCTACAGCCACATCACTACTCTTATTGGGCTGTCAATAATAAAATTGGATAGGTTATTTTTCCTGTTTATGCCTGCAGTTTTAATCCAAAGGGATTCTGCCTCGCACATGCACTACATTATGTAGTTACCTTGATAATCATAGGATCATGAAATGGTTTGGGTTGAAAGGGACCATGAAGATCATCTCATCCCAACCTCCTGCTGTGTGCAGGGACACCTTCCCCAAGACCAGGTTGTCAGAGCTCCATCCAACCTGGTCTTGATTACTGCCAGGGGTGGGGAATCCACAGATGTGCAACCTGTGCCAGTGCCTCCTCATCCTCATAGTGAAGAATGTTTTTCAAATATCTGATGTAAACTTACTCCCAGTTTGAATCCGTTCCCCCTTGTCCTACAACATGCTGTTGTAGATAATCTGATTGACTTTAGCTCTTATGTCATCCTATTCTGTCACTGGCAAAGACTAGATATCAAAGAATTGTGTATTAGTTCTACAACAGCCACCTTCACTTTCCAAATTTGCTATAGCCAATGAAATGATATTGCTGTTCCCATTCAAGACTCAAGTTTGGTTCTCCATCTTAATTCGTAGACTTTTGCCACTTCTGTAAAGCACAGGTGTGACTGGTTTGGTTTTCCATGGCCTTGTTATTCTCCATTCATGTGTTCTGCCTGATACTAATTACTATTTGACTATCACTGGCCTACACATGATCCTTTACTCAGACATACAGTGTATCCACACCTTCACTCAAAGGGGTGAGTCTTTGCCTCTCAGATATCCTTTCCTCTCAGTCACCCTGTTAAGCATTTGGTTGTGCTTGCCAGCAGGTTGGGTTCTTCATAATTCAAATGAAGACCATCCTGTCTGCCATTTCATTTCAGAAGTGTCCTCAGGTCACAATTAATCTTCATCTCTTTTCTTCCTGGGAAGCCAGGAAAAATAAAAGTGTTACACTTGATCTGTTCTCCCTAAATTTAAGAAAACCCTTAAGGCTGAATGAAAGCAAAGAGAAGAAGGGTGGGGGAAAAATAATGTCTTGTAAGAGATAATCACGAATGAGAATAGATTATTAGAATTTGAGAAGGGTTAGTTGGACACATCAGGTCATTTACTTGAAGAGGAGATTACAAATCAGATATGAAAGCAAAGTCAGGAGATGGAAAAACATTAGTGGCATCTAGAAGTTTGTTTTAAAGAAGACAAGCTTTAAGAAAATAAGTCAGGGAAAAGTGGAAGGATTTAATAAAACAGTGGAATTGTAACAAAGCTATAAATCCTTTAGACATGAGATTTAGATAAGGAAAAAAAATGGGAAAATTACAATAGGGAGTAATCATAGGAGGCAAATGCATTGGATTTTAAACATTGTTTTAAAACCCTTTGAAAAGAAGCTGTAGACTTGGAGTTCATTGTGTGCAAACATTCATCCCAAAGTGTTCACTGCTTTTCAGACACTGAATATTGATGTTACAGGCATCTTTGGTCTGATGCCAGACAGCACTTTTATGTAACAGTATTCATTATCTGAGAGGGGTGGGACAACAAAACAGGCACAGATACTTGTGTTCTAGTAAAAATTGTAGTTATTAGTGCATTAGTAAATATTTGTATATTTATGTGATTATATATAAAGGTTTGTAGATTTGAGAATAATGGAGTGCATTCTAAAGAGACACCAATGTTGCTTTATACAATCATTTATCCTTGCAGCTGGAGGAACCCAGCGTGGCAGGATGGTTTGGAGAGTTTATTCATATCTTAAATTTGTACTTAATACCATCATTTAAAATAATTTCAATTATTTTAAAAATAGCTTATTTCTTCTCATAAAACAGTCAATGATGATACATGCATAAGTGTAAAAATGCAGCTTTTGAGGTGTCCATATCTCACTTTATTTTTTTAAAAGTTCTGCATTTGAGCGATGCTTGTAAAGCCACGTTCCATTAGCGTCTAGAGAAACGTAGCTGGGCTTGAACCTTAAAACTTGCTACTTTATGATAAATCTGTCTTTAAAGTGCCGACTACTGTTTTGATTGTTATATATTTTTATCATAAAATAGTTTTCTTTGTCTTGAATAGGTCGGCCGACCTGCAACTGCGCGCTGGGTTTTACGGGGCCAAACTGCAACCAGACGGTCTGTGAACGCTTCTGCCAAAACGGGGGAACCTGCAGTGTCACCACGGGGAATCAGCCCTTCTGCACCTGCTTGCCTGAGTATACAGGAGACAGGTGCCAGTACTGTAAGTAATTTCCACAAAATTTCAATCCGGGTGTATAATGAAAGTTTGACAGAATGGATGTTTAAAACCTGCTTGGGTGATTTTTTTTTTCACTGCGTTGGTAAATTCAGCCCCAAGTAATTCGTACTGCTGAGGGAATGGAATCTGATGTATTCAGGTGATCTTGGAACATGTTTCTGAAATATCCTTCTACACATCGAGGTGAAGAAAGGAATGGTTATTTAGGACAAGCTGCACCAGGGGAGGTTTAGGTCAGAGATTAGGAAGAAGTTCTTTACAGAGAGAGTGATCAGACATTGCAATGGGCTGCTCAGGGAGGTGGTGGAGTCACTGGAGGTGACTCCTCTAATTATCTCATCCCTGGAGGTATTTAAGAAGAGACTGGATGTAGCACTTAGTGCCATAGTCTAATAGACAAGGTGGTGTTAGGTCGAAGGTTGGACTTGATGATCTCAGAGGCCTTTTCCAACCTCGTTGATTCTGTGATTTATTTATTGTTTTCGTGAATGAATCCGTAGAGTGGAGCTGTACAAGACAGATGACTTGGCCAGTAGACAAGAGACAATTGTGTTAAAATTTTACACTCCGACTTCTCATATTTGTTATCTTATGCTGATGTAATACCTAAACATAATGTTGACATAGTTGGTTAAAGAACTTTCTGGTGTCCCTTATCTTTGCAGACCAATATAATTCTCAAACTGCTCCTTTACCTTTGGTTTTCATTTCTAACCCCAGAAAGCAGTGTATTGACAATGGCTTTAAGCTTCACACTGCAATATTCCGTCACCTTGCTCTGTCTAAGATCACTTTGAGTGTGGTTTCTGCCCCATCCTGGTATTGAAATTCTAAAGGATTTCTAAATATTACTCTTGTTTAGTTCTCAGGTCTTAGATTCTACCCTTTGCATCAGAAGTTCTCCCCAGTTTTTCATTCCACTGACCATCAGGCTCTTCTCATTGAGTACTGTTTTCCAAAGTTTTCCATGCCTTTAGAAAGGCTCTTCTCACTTTCTACATATTTCTCTAATTTTTCACTTCTTTTACAGGGGAGAGGGGAGAGGGGAGAGAAGATTATCAATCAATAGGGATTCTGCTCTTACTCCATATGTATTTCTTTTCTCCCTGTGCTTTCTCTTTCTTTCACTGTTATTTCTTTTCAGTAACTCAAGACATTTGAGCATAATATTGAATTTCTTCTTTTGGTCACTCATTTAAAAATTACAGTTTGTCTTTCTCATGTCTCTTCAACATGATGACTCACAAGTAACCCTAGACCGTTAAAACCAGATTATTTTTCTGAGATCAGAATGATGTTTTTTTAGTCATCTGCTTTTTTTTCTACTCCTACTTTTCTTTGACTGTAGCATTCTAAAGAGAGGACTGTCATACTCTTATTAGACTGTCATAGTGCTTGTCACAGAACATTAAATATGAAAGCCATCACCTCTTTTGTACATTCAGTGAATTTGCTAAAGAAGGCTAGATTCAAACAAAAGGAAAAGGAAATTAGCTTTTATAAAGGTCTGGTTCAGAATTATCTACAATATACAAAAAGTATTTCATTTTAGACAAAGGTCTGTCAAACAAGGAAAGTGTTAGTTTGTATCTTAAATAGGATTGGTACTGAAGTAAACTGAATGTATTTCTAGGTGGGGGACTATGAAATAAATTGAAGCCTTTGAATGGAAAACCAGCAGTAATTGTGATTCTCTCCCCTGTATTAAACAAACTGCATGGATCCATAAATAACTATCTGCAAACACAATTGGGTATTTGAAAATAGTATGGTACATAAATCATGCACAGACAGACACACAGATTAAGAAAAAATATTTACTTGAGGCTTACCCTAAACCAAACAAATTGTTTCCAGTTGAATGCTTCTGCAAACATTTTTTTTTTTTTTTAGAATTGATTTAAATGTAAATTTATGGGTACTTTTTAAGCAGTGCTTATTATCAGATTTGGATTGTCTGCTGACACTTTGGGAAACTGACACAATACAAAGACTCAAACACTTCATAAAATAGAAAATAAAATCAAGCTTTTGTTTATTTAAAAATACTTTTAGGGAAAAGAAGTCTTTTAGAGTATTTTTTGGTGATCAATAACAGTTTTGTGAAATGTTACAGGTTTACAGTTAATAAGGTGTATATGAAGTCATGTCTTATTTTTTTGCTTTATTCATGCATATGGATGATTTTTTGCTTTATTAATCACATTCACTTTGTATGCATGTTGGAATACATTAATGTAGCATTATTGCAAAAATTGGTTGCCTCCAAGATATCTTTTCCAGTCTTTCTTTGCTGTGATTGAAACTAGTTCATATGCAAAAGATGATACATGAATGTGCATAGGTATTTTATTCCTACTCCCAAGCTGAAAATATTATTAGTGTTTTTTATAGCAGGGAGAAGACATTTGCTTACAGTATTACCAGCTTGCAAAGACCTTATTTTCCTCATACTTATAGCCTCCAATTACCCAGTGCAGAGTTTCGCCTGTGATTAGTTCACATAAGGGCTAATAACCAAAATGTGTGCTCCGTGTCAAGACACTGGCACTGCTGAAATAAATTTAAGTGAATGAATTTACATAGAATTCTACTAACACTGTGCATGTTATTAAATACACATGAATTTGACGTATTTGAATATAACTCCCTATTTCAAATTCCAGAAATAAGACATACAGAGTAGTTAAACTTCATTTCTTGTATCATTTAAGGCCCAAACAACCTAAAAAATAGAAAACGTTTTCATGCAGTTACAATCATTCAAAGTGGATATAGGGATCTTGCAAGCTGTGACTTGCCCTGAAATTGAAATTCTTTTCTTTAGGGGGAAAAAAAAAATTGTGTCATTTCAGCCCAAATACAGCATAAACATTTTAGAAACAGGATAAGATTAAAGGTGTTTGTGATTGCAATCAATACTAGACCTAATAATTGTTTTAGAGTATGACCTTCCTATTTCTAGGTTTTGGGTTGGGTTGGGTTTGGGTTTTTTTGTCATAATGTACATGCAAACATTTCCCCCTTCCACTGCTCTTTCATAAATTGACTCTCAATATTAGCTTTCAAACTACAGTAGTTTTTGTTCCAAAAACAGCCCCCTTGCTGCAAATTGCCATTCTATACCTTGAATCTGGGAATGACAAACAATGAACAACTTCATTTAGTGTCTTTTAAGCCTCTCTGGTTGCTGAGTCGTGATTCCTTAACCAAATGGACCTACAGCCTCTGCAGATCAGTGGAGTTATACATTGAATAATCGAAGAGAAGTAATTCCTCCAACAGTCATGGTCAGTCCTTTAGCAGAGCTCTTCCAGCAGTACATACTCCTTGGAGAGGGGGAAAAACTGAGCACAGAGTAGCATAAGCAAAATGTGTTTTAATAAGATACTGTCACAAATGATGCTCAGAGAAGCCGTGGCTGCCCCATCCCTGGGAAGTGTTCAGGGCCAGATTCAGTGGGGATTTGAGCAGCCTGGTTTAGTGTGAAGGTGTCCCTGCCCGTGGCAGGAGGGTTGGAACTGGATAATCTCTAAGGTCCCTTCCAACCTAAACCATTCTGTGATTCTATGATCATCCATCCTGAATATATGCAGTAAAATGTATAAATTTTAGTAGTCTCTAATTTAGGGCTTAAAACATGCCCCTGGTCAAACGGCAGCTGGAGAGTTTAGACTTCCATACTCAAGGCTGAGGTTGCTGTTCCACAGAATCAAAATCATAGAATGGCCTGGGTGGGAAGGGACAGGTTACTTCAAGCTCCATCCAACCTGGCCTTGAACACTTCCAGGGATGGGGCAGCCACAGCTTCTCTGGGCAGCCTGTGCCAGTGCCAAGGTTTCATTCTCTACTTGTAGCAGCTACTGACTCACTCTTAGACAGGTACTGAGCTCAAAGGGCTTGAATTATTTGGTTTTGTCAGAAAGATCATATTTTATTAATATGGACCAGCTTAACTCTAAGGGGATACAGATGCTTAGTAATTGATATCTTTAATATCAATTACTTTGTTTGTCCATCATTAACACCACTGAAAGCTCAACACATGTTAACTACATGGGACTGAAGAAAGTATTGGAAACAGAGAAATAAAGACTTTGAGTGATTTGGGCCCCAGTAAGGAGTTTAAATAATGACTTAAAAAAAAACCACAAAAAAACAACAACAAAAAAACCCCCAACAAAATCAAAGCACACACACCAAAGAAAAACAAATAAACAAAACAACCCCCCCCCCATAAAATAATAATAAAAAAATTCACTACCACACAAATAAAAATGAACCAAAATGTAAAGATACCAGTATTTTGTAGCTCTGGAATTTTCTTCAGTTAGGCAGTTTGGTTTTTGTAGAGGTGTGGAAAATGAGACTGTTACTGGTGCTTCTGAAAAGTTAAAGAATTTACTACTTGAAATCTCAGTTTTGCTGGCATTTAAGCAGTTAAAAAATATAATGGGGTCTTGCATAGTCTGTAAAGATAAGCAAGTATGTGGCATTTTGTGGAACTTATGGATTATGTCTTTATATATAATTATTAGAACTTCATGAAATTTTAATATGTAGATAAATGAAAATAAAACTTAATTATTTCAAAATATTGTTTCAATTTCAGTTTAGCATAATGCTGTTAATGGTTATGTGAATGTATCAGAAGATTTTTATTCAGTCAATGTCCCATTAAATACATTAACATTACTCCTTTTCTCATCAGTAGTCTTTATATTCTGTGGGATGATGCCATAAATGTTAGACAAGTAGAAGGGGAAAAAAAAAATCTCTTACTAAAAAAATTTATCTTAGTATTTCACTTCTCAAGATTACACGGTTAATATATTATATATCTGTTTATGGGATATTCTTGATTCCTGCAGTTGCCAGTGAGTCACCAGCTTCAGTTGTCATCTTGTTTTTATTATAGTAACTTTTAAAACATAAAAGTAATGCATTATTTTTTTCTATAATAGTCCCTAATGTCTTCCAGTAACTAGCTTTCCTGTTACTTTCAGATGTTTGCCACCATTACTGTGTGAATTCTGAATCCTGCACTATTTCTGATGATGGAAGTGTAGAATGTGTCTGTCCAGTACGGTTTGAAGGTCCAAAATGTGAAGTGGACAAGTGCATCAGGTGCCACGGGGGACACTGCATAATAAACAAGGACAGCAGTGACATTGTATGCAAGTAAGTGTGTAGGGGGGCATGATTGTGTTCAAACTCATATATTTAATTGCAACTATGACGAATTATCCTTTGAATCTCTTATACAGTCCCTGATCTGGTCACATCAGATCAACTCCTTTGTGTGGTTCCTGCTCATACAAAACCCACTGACTCCTGCTTTTTTAAACCATCTTTTGGATCACTCTTCACTGGGGGAAGCATAAGGCCAGGAGACTAATTGGGTTTTCACTTGAAAAAAAAATTATTCAAGTTAACAGTTGAGTTTTACCACACTGTTGAAAGCTGTTCATTCTGCATTATCTGTGACATACTGAGGCATATGTAGTCACGTGTGCTGGTTTATTCCTGAGGAATTATTTTGTGTAATAATAGCTTATTTTCATAAAAGGAAAGATGAAAGATATTTTGTGCAATAAACTCTCTGCCTGTGCTAGCTTTTCCACGTGGGAACCAAGAATTCTTGCAATCAGTAGATCTCATACATATCACATAATCAGTACTTTAATAGGTAGGGAATTCACAGATTTATAAAAACTGATTGCTTGTTTGTTTGTTTGTTGTTTATTTTTAACCATGCCAGTTGCACTAATGGAAAGATTGCCTCTACCTGCCAGCTGTGTGATGGCTACTGTTACAACGGTGGTACATGTCAGCTGGACCCAGAGACAAACATTCCTGTCTGTCTGTGAGTATCCTGCATTGTGTGGATAAATAATAATACCTGTGTTCCAACAAATAATAAAGTTATTGTGCATGTGTCTCTATTTTTGGTCCCTCTAGGATGTATAATGTGCTGGTTGCAGTTGTAACTTACAGTACAACTGTACTGTAACCTGAGACTTTGCCTACCTTTCTGCAAAATGTGTACTGAAAGACATAACTAAGGAATATACTGTGAATGCATATAAGGTACAAAGATATGTCTTTTGAGACTTCTAATAGTTTCAGGTCAGATCTAAAGCCCGTTTAGGCATTTGTTCTGGAATGGAGTCTGGAAGCATAGGATGGTTGCCTGCCCTGTTTCTCAAAGGTGGATTAAAGTCTTTTCTCCTCTAAAGATGGTCAGATCTGGGGGCAAAACACTCCTCCTGATGGCTGGAGAGTATAAAAAATAATGCCAGTGTTAATTTCCCTTATGGGTCTGAGGAAATGCTCGTGTGTCTCTGATTTGTGCCCTAACCTTCACCCTGCCCACAGTAGTGTGGCTTTTCTGAGGTGAGGTTTTGCTCTCCCTCCTGCACCGTGGTTGAGAGAATAATTCAGGATGCTTTCTTAAGCCCAGACATAGAAGCCCAGACAAAGAAAATGGGATTCTGTAGTCTGGTGAAGTACTGTTGTAACAGGTAGAAAAGCCTACATTCTAGTCCTTTCTTGAGAGCTATGGTGTATCTTCTTTTTCAGCTGCTCAATATAAAAATGCTGAAGTAGTCACTGTAGCAAGAAATTAATTTCTTTCCTGCTCTCAGTTACACGGAGCTATATAGTCATACTCCTTGGGGTTTTTTTTGCTTTTGACTACTAAATGATCCAATCTCTTTTACACTGCTGAAAAGCTTCAGTGTGGAATGGTCTTCAAACAACCTGAAGGTCAGAGCATCCTCCAGGTTGGAAGAGAGAGTTGTTGGAAGGGAAAATCAAACTTGAGTGTCTCCTTTCCTGGGTGACATAAGTAAGTTGTTGCCCAAAGGGATCTGGCGTTACAACTTTGTAAATACAGCTACAGCCAATTCTTCATTTTGTTGATGTGTGTGTGGTAGGTGACCTTAAAAGAGATTACCTGTTTTGTTCAGACTCTCAAGGAAGTTTCATAGAGAAATGGCTAGATTTTGTAACCTGATAAGGGTAAGAGATGGGTCAGTGGTTCCTCCCTGGAGAGCTGAAGCACTCACATGTGCAAAGGGACACAACTGCAGTTTCAGTACCACTGAAAAGTTGTCAATAGATGTTTGTAGGTTTGGGGCTAAAGACAATGTAATTTAGTTCTGCATGGTAGCCCTTATTCAGTTGAAAATGCTTTAAGTGCCTATTTGTCTTTTTATTATTATTTTCATTGAGATCATTTTACCTGTTATTTGTACCTCCTTAAATGTCTTCAGTTGAAGACTAGAGACTGATAAATCATAGCAAAATGAGAATATCACAGCTGTAATATGTAAGACTCAAATATGATGACTAAGTCTGGTGATTCATTTGCTTAAACACCTAGAATGGCTATTTTGGAAGCTTGTGATTTTTCCTTTCTTTTCCCTTATAAGACTGACCTAGTATGTTTCTAATTCATGTGGAACACCATAGCACCTCAAGGGAAAAAGGTTTCATACCTTAATTTGTGCGTGAGTTTACAATACATAAGTGCTGTAGCATATACCAACACCATAAACACTGTTAAAAAAATGGTAATGAAAATGTTTAAGGCCCTTGTAATCTGGATCAATCAATAGAAATGTATAGTACATCTGACAATAATACTTTGAGAACCCATCAGTTAGTATAGGCCCACTGTTTTAAAACTGTTGGATCAGCACTGATGAGCAAACTTTTCAGTATTGTCAGATGGACCTTCCATGAAAAGAGGAGTATTAATTTTGTTTTTTGTGAATCTGTGTGTGTGTATATGTGCGTGTCTTGCCATCACTATATATAATGCGTTTAAAATATGTTCAGCAAAGGCAGAATATTTATATAGGTCTATTTTACTGAAATTCTGCAGATGCTCTGTGGGGTTTAAAAGTCAGCGCTGTGACCAGAAAGTGAACCCTTGTGATTACTACTGTCAGAATGAGGGAATTTGCACTTTAACCACGTTTAATGAACCGAGATGCAAGTAGGTTTAACCTTCCACTTAATGCTGCACATTCTGTGACATCATTCCAGGCCACAGTTCATTGGTTCAAGTCATGCACATTCACATACATTTCACAATATATACTTAATCTGGGGGCCCATTTCTATAATACACACTTACCCTTTGATAGTTGCACTGATGAGTATATTTAAACATACATCTGGAGTGTCTGTATCATTAGAGGAAGAAATAAAAAGCTTTATTTTTACTAAGTGGATTGAAAACACTGAAAATGCCGCTTGGCTTTTATTACTCATGTTTTGAGATATTTTACCAAGTTAATCCTACATAGCATAAAGTTTAGCAGTGAGATTGCACGTGTTCTGTAGTCCAAACCTGATTTCCTATTTCTTGTCCATACAGGGAAAGGAGCAGAAGAGCAATTTAGGTACCACTTCAGGAGTTAAGCTTGTATTCATAAGTCTTGTTGTTAAATTTATAGAAATAATGCTGTAAAATAGAAACTGTTGAACAAAAATATGTGTGCTGCATCATAACTTTTGAGTTCTCTGATTTAAAAAAAAGTTCTTACATTTGTATTCTCTATTTCTCCAAGAGATTTTAGGTCTATTTCTTAAAGAGAAAATTTCAGTCTTCATCAGGGGAAGAAACAACCTTAGTCTTTGAAAATCCTGTAAGGCATTTGTATAGAGAGATATGAGATACCTGTCTTTGCTTTGCTCAACAGTTGTGAGGCAAAAGTCAGAAGTGAAATCATGAACCAAAGACCTAGACTTGTATTAGAATATGAAACTCAAACAGCTTTAAACTTCTCATCTAAATGCATGGCTTATGAAAACATAAAATGCTGAGGGGATGTGATGTGGGTGTCTGGTGGGTAGCAATGACAGTGACTAGGTAGGGTGAATGATCTATTTTTTTTAAAAAATATGGTCACAATTCCTTTGTCAATGTTCTCATACAATGAAACTCTCTGATTTGAGGTATCATAAATCCATTGGCAATGAGATAATGTCTTGATTACCACTTCTGACACTTGGAAGATATGGAGTGGGTCTGTTGATCAGCATTGTATGGGACACGGGTGCTTGGAATTGTTTGTATCTGTGCATCATACTTGGGTTTTCAGAATCATGCAGCCCTAAGAAGAACATGTTGCTGACTATAAAGTTTTATATTGCACATATAATATAAAATTGTGGGAAAATGGAAAAAAATGCTTAAAGAAGACAGAACAAACAAACAAAAGAAAAGGCAACCTGGACTTGTGCAAAAGTGGTATTAGTCTTGGTTTTCTTCCTTTCAAAAACTGTAATGTTGGCACCCAAAGACTGTTTTATTGATGAAAGCTGTCATTTCTCCCTTTGAGAATGTACTCTTCCACAGAAAATATCAGGAAGGAATTGCAACATTTTGAACATAGTGATTAACTTAGTTTGTTTACTTATTATATATTCTGACTGTGACAATATTCCTAAGGCTGTTTTTACTAGATACTTGTGCTACAGACTGAATAATCTAAGCTCAAGTAAAAAGAAAAGCAGTAAAGCACATCAGTAATATGATGAAAGGACTGAGCAATCCTTTCACTTTCATCTTCTCAGGGTTATTTGACACAGTTTTGAAGTTTTTTTGTTTTTAATTAAAGTTATTGTTAAGATGGGAAAGAAGAAACATGGAATAAAAAAAGTGGAAAAGGTCGAATTCAAGTTTCTTTTCAGTGTGAGGAATGGTTTCAGGTGAACTGGTAATTAGAAGTTTAAGTTTAATTGGAACTGTAATAGATAATTCACATTCCGAATGCAAGCTTAGATAGAGATCATGTTCCTGTTGTCTCTGTAGGCTCATTGTTGGGTTAGTACGACCACCATTTCTAAATTGTTGCTTTCTTTACAAAGCCAAGGTGGCTGAGAGAAGAAAGTGAAGCAAATAGTTGTTTGATGGAGTTGAAGAGAGTTAACCATGATAGAGAAAGAAATGTACCTCCACATGCCTCAGTGCTCCGTGCCAAACTCAGTTCAAGCTCCCATTGTTCCTAGTGCCTTTGCTTTTTTTCTGGTCCCAAATTGCTTCTTACCTGGAGCTCGTTTATAATTTTATCAGCCTGACACTGACAAGTAGAAGGCATATGGAAAGGAGGGAAGGAATCCCATGCTTCCCAAGAATCATTGTGTCAGAGAACAGGAGCCTCAAAGATTTTTCCCGTTAAATTCTGCTCCATTGCAAGGAAAATTATTTATCCCTCCAACCTTCACCTGTGGCCATGTGGGTGTGTATGATGTATGGCATCTGTCTCTGGTCTGAGAGACACTTATCTAATGGTTAACATTTTCCTTAACCAGTGTCTAATTCACGGGTGGGTGATTTTTAGAAGAAATAGGACATGCCTGGGTTTATTGTCATTCTACAGGAACAGCCAGCATCAGTTGAGATTGCAACCTTTATACATAATCAAACCCTTATTATCATTCAGTAAAGACAATAGAGAATAAGATTTATCTGTTCTAAAGGGCAGTCCTAAAGCCATAATTATTCAGAGTAACCATAAACCTGTAAGAACAGACTCTCCTTTCACCAACCCTGTACTGTTAGCGTACATTTTTATTTTATCTTCCTCTCTCAATATCAGTTGCACATTGGAAGTAGAAGTTGTGTTTTTCACCTAACCAGTTTAGGAATGAATTAAGGCCTTACACTGGCTGCACATAGGCAAGCAAAAAAAGAAGGGTTTGTGAAGGAAGTTGCCAGTTTCAGTGAATGCTTTTTCAGGTTTTAAAATATTCAGAATGTACTGTGATTTCTCTTTAGACATAAGGTCCTGTGCTATCTAGATTATTAATTCTTAGCATTATTTTTAGGAGAATAAAGATTATTCGTCTCCCTCTTCCCTGCATTATTGTTGGTTTTGCTCAATTACAAAGGTTGGGAGAGAATTTCAGAATGTTAAAATTTGAGGTACTGACTTTTTCTGAAAAACATACCATTTAGGGTAGCATGATCTTATATATAGTTACTGTCATTTTAGTATTCACATACCACATTTTTTAAGGATCTCTTTAGGGCTACTCACTAATGGGTTGGGGGAGTGTGATGTGAATAACACTAGAAGCATAGAGATATGTCTGATTTGGTCCAGTAAGTTCACAAATGAATTGACAAAAAGAATGAACAGGAGATGAGATTCAGATGGGAAATAAGCAAGAAATGTTTTTTCTGTGTATTTCCCAAACTGTCAGTTCCATCTGTTCTATCAGTCTGTCTTTTAATAATTGCCTTTATTTATCTCTCTGTTTCCTTCTCACTAATTATCTATGTGCATATACATTCCTGCAAGAAAAGCGAGGTTTAGAGAGAGATTATACCCATTGTGATACCAATGAAAGAGCTGGAAAAAAATAAAACTTTAAAGTACACATAGTCGTCACTGGTTGTTACATAGGAAGTGCTGTATAAATTTCTTTACTACAAAATATTACCCTCTCTCACCTTTGTTTCTTTTATACCTTTGCCATAACTTTAGGTTGCTCTAATCTCATCTTTTTATTTGTATTACTAATATTCTTTGAATCTTCACATAGATGTGGTCTATTATTATTATTTGCACATAAATGGGATTAAATCATAACTCCTAACACTAGACATTATAGAAATATAACAAAGGGTATTTTCTAAGCTTACAATCAAAACTCCTAGACTATATAAGTAACACTGATCCTTATCTAAACCCAACTAAATTTAAAAAAGAGATTTTAAACACTCTAATGAGCTTTTGAGCAATGCTGCATGACTGTGGCTGAGGACTTTCAGGTGAAACAAGATTATACTGTGCTGGCTAATTAATAGGATAGTAACTTATTCCTACTTAGGTTACTCTGTGTAGAAGAGTGTTCTGTTCTGTGTGTCTAGAATGTGGAGTCTGTTTCCTAGGTGTCATCAGAAACAGAGAAAATCAGAGGACAAAGAACAGCATTACCTTAGTTGCTTGTGGATAGATGTGTTGGCTGTTCAGAGGGCTTCAGGTTGTGTGTGTTGTATTTCAGTATTAGGACAAACATCAGTTCTTCCCTAATGAAGAGTAAGTCATCCTGTATAGGTAATGAGAAGGTACATACCATGCAGGACATTTAAAGAAAACTGAGGAAATTGAAAAGTGTAGAGTAGAGATAGAATAAACTACTTCATTTCTAAATAAAGAATTTTGGTGGAGTAATAGGTTAAAGAGAATAGTGACCAAATGGGGAGAGAACAAGTTGTGGGATTGCTTAAAAGTGATAAGGCTTGAATCTGGAAGTGTATATGGATAAATTAGAAAAAATAACTCCTGCTGGAGTGAAATAAGCAAGAGAGATGTTCTTATAGAATCATGGAGTGGTTTGGGTTGGAGGGGATCTTAAATCTCATCTCGTTCCACCCCGTACCATAAGCAGGGACACCTTCCACTAGACCAGGCTGCTCAGAGCCCCGTCGAGCCTGTCCTTGAACACTTCCAGGGATGGGGCATTCACAGCTTTTCTGGGCAACCTGGTCCAGTGTTCCAGCTTGTTCTGGCCAGCTTTACATCCAGTGGGTTGGAGAGGGACACTGTGTTTGGGGGTAATGTGGGGGTAGGGGGGCAGTGTGCACGTGCATGTGCATGTGTTTAGGTGACAGAAGTCAGAAGGAAAAGAGTGCACTCCTCTTGACAGAGGAACTCCTCTCCATCTCATGTGCCTGTGATGCTGTACCTTCCTCCTGATGTTCCTTTCATGTTGAAAAATCTTCAAATATGAACAGTTTCTGTGTAAGTACATGTGCAACTTTTACGAGTGCTGCAATTACACCCAAGTTTATAACTAAAGGTAACTCATCATCATGGCAAACCTCTGTTCAAAAAGAGGTTCAGGTACATACATAATCCAGTTGTGGACAAGAAAGGGCCCATACTATGCAATCTCCTGACTGGTACTTTCTGAAGGCTGAGTAGAAAAAACCACTGTGGTGTAGAACAATGTCAGGATTGAGCAGCCTGCCTAAGAGGG